CTGTCTGGGCCTGCGGGAAAGGCCTGAACTTGGTCATCTGCGCCTGGTGGTGCAGAGCCCTTGTCTCGGCTGCATGCTGCTGGCCCCGGGCCCTGTGCTGTGCTGCCCCGAGCCTGCCTGCACATCCCCCGTCCAGAGTGGGCCCTTCGTCTGCACATGATGGTGACGTGAGCCTGGTGCCTGGGATGTGCTGGTGCTGAAACCGGCAGCGGCAGAGCTCAGAGGCTCAGCTCTGACCACAACGACGAAAAGAGCGCAATTCTGAGACTCCTTCCCAGTGCTGCAGACGCTGAGTGGCAGTGCAGAGTGGGCCGGCGCTTAGAGGGTGGTTGTCCAGCTGAGACTCCGGCGTGCAGCTGTTGGATTTTAAGTGAAAGTTGACTTTCAGCAGTAAAACGTGGGAGCAGGGAGCGTCTGAAACGTGACCGCGCTGCAGCTGCGTTTTCCGGCGTGCAGGGCTCTGGCTGTGTGCGGGGGACTCGGCAGGGGTCTTAGAGCTGGAAGGTGGCCTTGTCTTCGTCTTTCCTCCATCATGAGTGATGTGGCCTCGGCTGTGACTGTTCTGTAACTGCTGAGGTGGCTCCTTGCTACTGAGCACACGGAACGAAGCTGCTGCGTGCACTCAGCACCTTGCAGCGTTTTCCAGAGGAGCGGCTTGTCCCTGGGCCACGTTACCTTCGCCGTCTGTAGACGTCTTACTGCATGAGTACTGAGGTGGCCGCCATCCCTTTGGGGTCATCTGCAAACACCCGGGCGGTGACGATGACCCTTGGCCTGCAGTGGTTTCGGTGAGAGATCCCGGGCTGAGGTCAAGGCTGCGCACCAGTGGCTCCTCGCAGGCCTCTGGTCAGCCCTGGCCGTCTGATGTCTGTGACTCGGTGCTGGCGCCTTGCCCCTGGGCCTGGCAGACCCTGGGCTTTCCCGTCTCACTCATCTTTCTTCCTCATCCTGAGTGTTTGGTCTGCTCCCCGGAGTGCAGCGCAGGCTGTGCGGGAAGCCCTTCTGTAGTCTTCAGGCTGCTGAGTTAGGTGAAGTGCGTGGCCTTCTCAGTGCTGGTTCCAGACTAATTTTATTTGCATTTACTGGTGCCTGAAAAACAAGACTGCAAATAAAAATAGCCTCAGTGTTGGGGCTGCACGGCCTGGTCCCTTCCAGCGGTGGCGCTTCGGCTTTCTGTGAGTGCTGCCCAGCGCGGTGCCGCCAGGGGCTGTGGTGCCGCTGGGGGCTCGGCGTCCTGGTGGAAAGCACGGCCACGAGGCTGACTTGCTGCAGGCCTCTGCTGTGGGTGGAGGGCTGGTTGCTTAGCCTGCTCAGGGTGGCCGTGCCAGTGGACGCTGCCCCATCCCACATCCCCAGCACTTGACGTGACTGATGGGCCAGAAACCCTTCCTGACCTGCAGCTTTTGTCTCTGTCCCCTCTCTCTTCCCTCCAGAGTTTTGTGGGAATGGAAATCAAAGTGTCCAGTTACTCTTTTTACGGGGCCTGGCTCCAGAGGAAGGGTTTAGGATAGCCTACAGAAGCTCGGACACAATAGGGTTAAGAGACGCACGGGCCGCACAGGTCAGCTGCTGCTGGGTGGCAACCAGCCGGCCCCTGCAGCACAGAGGGAGGTAGCATTAGCGTCTTTCCTTAGGGACAGGCAGGCTTGCAGGGGAGCTGGTCTGGTTGGGCTGTTTAGGGCTGTGGCGGCGGGGGCACCCGTCACCATGAGTTGCCTGGTAATACCTGGGTGTGCTGCTCACCCTCCTTGAAGCCATCCAGCAGGGGCAGGTAGGAATGAGGGTGCCTCTTACGGCTGGACTCTGATGTGCACAGATCACTTCTGCCCCATTCTGTTGGCAGGCCATGTGCCACGCCCAAATTCAAGGATAGGAAAGTACTCCCCACCCTGTGACTGGCTGTCATAGGGGCTTGTCAGGGAACTTGGACCCCCACACAGGGAGGCGGGATGGGCGTGGGACCCAGGAACAGGGAAGCGGGGCTATGTGGATGCTGCATCTGTGAGTGGAGGGCCCAGTGCCATGGAAAACAAGAGAGAGGTCATGGATTCGAGATGGTTTCTAGAGCAGTCAGAAACGGCCTAGTGTTAGAGGATCGCCAGCAAGACCAAGAGAAGACAAGGACTGGAAGATCCTTTGAGGGGGTTCACATCAGACAGCCACACAGCACTGTTCAGAAAGAAAATAGAGGAATGGAACTTACCAGGTGTGGCTGGAAGACGGTTCCCTTGGTGTCTACGCGCGAGAGCCGAGTGATGGCAAGGGGCGGTCCCAGCCTGGCCTGGGTGTGTGGTGCCCCTCTGATCCAAGGTGCCCTGCATGGGGACCAGAGTCAGGTCTGAGACTCCATGCTGCCAGCAGGCACCGGGCATCCTGGGCGGCCTCTGAAGTACCACCCCCAGCTGAGTGACCAGTTAGGTTGGAAGGGAAACAGTCAGTGTTGGATGCGCCAGGGAATTGGTGTGTTTTTTCCTTTCATCTTTTCTGCAAAAGTTATTTAGGAAGAAAAATATTCTTTGAAAGGCAGAGTGACAGGGCAGGGGTTGGGTAGGGAGAGACAAGAAAGAGAGGTCTTTCATACACTGGTTCACTTCTCAGGTGGCCTAAACAGCTGGAGCTGGGCCAGTCCAAAGCCAGGAGCTTCATGTGGATCTCCCACGTCGGTGCAGGGGCCCAAGCACTTGAGCCGTCTTCTGCTGCTGCTTCCCCAGGCGCATTAGCAGGGAGCTGGATTGGAGGTGGAGCAGCCGGGACTGGAACCGGTGCCCACATTGGCTGTGGTTGTTAGGCAAGTGGTTTTGTGAGCATTTAAATTTATTGTCATTCACTGAATTGTACACTTGAGATCCCTGCATTGTGTTCAGTATAAGTTTCACTTCAAATTAAAAATCAGTCTGTAATATAAAGCTGGGCCGTCCCCCATTTCTCACAGGGCCCCTGACATGCTGGTGGGTCTCTGGCTTCAGCCCCTGCTCTCGGCCCTCAGTATGTGGCTAAGGGTCTGTTTCCCCAGTCTTGAAAAATGGTGTGTAGTGTCTGGTGCTGTGGTGTGGCAGGTAAAGCCACCGCCTGCAGTGCCGGCATCCCATATGGACACCAGTTTGAGACCCGGCTGCTCCTCCTCTTTTTTTTTTTTTTTTTTGACAGAGTGGACAGTGAGAGAGAGAGAGAGAGACAGAGAGAAAGGTCTTCCTTTTGCCGTTGGTTCACCTTCCAATGGCCGCTGCGGCTGGCGCACCACGCTGATCCGAAGCCAGGAGCCAGGTGCTTCTCCTGGTCTCCCATGAGGTGCAGGGCCCAAGCACCTGGGCCATCCTCCACTGCACTCCCTGGCCACAGCAGAGAGCTGGCCTGGAAGAGGGGCAACCGGGACAGAATCCGGCACCCCGACTGGGACTAGAATCCGGTGTGCCAACGCCGCAAGGCGGAGGATTAGCCTAGTGAGCCGCAGCGCCGGCCTGGCTGCTCCTTTTCTGATCCAGCTCTCTGCTGTGGCCTGGGAAAGCAGTAGAAGATGGCCCAAGTCCTTGGGCCCCTGCACCTGCATGGGAGACCCGGAGGAAGCTCCTGGCTCCTGACTTTGGATTGATGTAGCTCTAACCGTTGCATCCAGTTGGGGAATGAACCAGTGGATGGAAGCCCTCTCTCTCTCTCTGTGTGTCTCTCCTCTCTGTGTAACTCTAACTTTCAAATAAATAAATAAAGCTTAAAAAAAAAAAAAAAAGAACGGTGTGTCTTTTTGGTGACGTCTTTCCTACTCAGTGGGCAGGATGTTTCTCTCCTGAGTCTTAGATGACATTGTTCATGTTCCGAACGTGGAGGTTCTCACACGACGTCTTCTCCGTACGTGCTGTGAGTTTGCTGCCCTGTGGTGAGAACCAAGGACGGTGAAGTCTGTTGACTGTGCTGGGGCCGCTCCTCTAATGGAGGAGCTGGAAGCCTTTGCTGTGTCTCTGTGGTCACGTGCTCTCTCTTCTCTTCGAGTGTGAAGCCATTCGTAACTCTGGGCCTGCACTGAAGCAGGCCAGTGTGATCTGGGGCTGTGGTCGGCCGTCCCTGCTGCCTGAGTCCCCGGCAGAGTGGCTGCAGCCCCGCAAGGCTTGGCCCGCACTGCCTCAGCAGTGAGAGCCGGCTTCCTTCTCACCCTGTTTTCCCCGTTACAGTCCTTATTTAATCTGGGTTATTCCGGGATTTGGTGTTGAAACAGGCAGCACGACCCATCCTGAGCTCTTACTTCTCAGCCTGTGGAGCCAGCGTGTGCTGACCTGGGGGCTCTCTGGTACTGATGGGCCACAGGAAGCGTCAGAGGTGTGTGACACACGCCTCCTGGAAACCCTGCACTGGTGACTCCAGATGATTGGCAGAACCGATCAGCATCCCAGTCAAAGCAGACTACAAGAAAATAACACACTCTAGAAAAAATAAATTCATCCTCTCATCATAAACCAAAAACCAAAAAATACTGACTGTGCCTTTGTGTGTATACAGTTGGAACGTGTCTGTGTCTTTCACAATAGATTACTTTGAAAAAATAAGTCACATACAGGAAAGCTCCAGCTGTGGTAAAGATCTCTTCGGTGAGGCCTGAGAGTGGGCCTGGGGCCCGGCACCCTAGCTGTGGACCGTGAGTTTTCCGCACGCTGTGTCTCAGTGCACCTCCACGGGGCCCCAGGGAGATGGCTGCCGGCCCTGCACGAGCAGGCGCCCACCTGCCCTTTGCCTCCCGGCCTGGCCGCTGTGGGAGGCAGTGAGCCTCTGGGGCCGCCCCGATGGGCACCTGTTGGGCTGGGCCCTGTCAGCTTGCCCTGTTACTGCTGGGGATCACTTGAGTAGTTCTTACGCTCTCTGCCAGCATCATCCCCTTTAAAAATTTCTAGCCAGGTAAATGGCCTATTCTTATCAGTCTTTCAGCATCATTGTCTGTTTATGTCTCCGGTGAAGTCAGGGTTTCCTGTTTTATTCGGCAGGTTGTAATCCATTACTGTCTTGTCTTGCTTCAGGGTTCATGTTACCCCACATTTGCTGCTGGGAGCCCCCCAAGCTGACTTCTCATGTCTCGCAAGATGCTTTCTCGACCAGGATGCTCGAGACTGGTGCCCCTGCCCTGACCCTAAAATGTGCTTCACAAGCAGGTGGGGTTGAGTGAGTGGGAAGTGGGTATCGGGCTCTGGGATCTGGTGCGGGGTGAGTGTGAGCCCGTGTAGACACTTAACTTGCATTTCGGCTGCGTCTCGGTGGGATGTCCGTCACTGCCGGGCTCCTTCTGCTTTGCTCTCCTGGGCTGGAAACCCTTCTCCGATGTGAGCAGTTGGCTCCTTGATTGCTAGCCTGTTTCCTAACTTGGATCAGTGCCCACTCCCGGCTGGGCCAGACCTCTGCCGGCTGGTGAAGGGAAGGACTCACACTCTGTCCGTCTCCAGGAAGGCAGAGGCTCCTTTCACTCCTGAGTGCCTGCTTTAAAAAAAAAAAGAAAAAGAAAAAGAAAAAAGAAAGGGTGAGCTTCTTGGAAGCAGCGTCGCAGTCTTTACCTTTCCATAGCCTCAGCTCCCCTTCTCAGTGTCAGCCCCTTCTGCTCAGGCTCCGCCTCCTTCTCAGGATCCGCCCCTTCTGCTCAGGGTCCTCCCCCTTCTCAGTGTCAGCCCCTTCTGCTCAGGCTCCGCCCCTTCAGCTCAGGATCCGCCCCTTCTGCTCAGGGTCCTCCCCCTTCTCAGTGTCAGCCCCTTCTGCTCAGGGTCCGCCGCCCAGGCCAGTCCCCTGTGTTTGAGACACTCTCCCATCCGCTGCTTCCGCACGCAGCTGCTGTTTCCCTGCATCGCGGGAGCCCGCCAGCTTCCTAGACGAGAGGATTACAGTCTCACACGTGGGGTTTTGCTCCTTCAGTTTTCCCTCCGGCCTTCGTGAGGTCATTTGGGGGTATTTTTCCTGCAAGGCAATGACTATTATTTTGGTCTGGTTACTTTCAAGATCTGTTTTAACTCTAATTTTCGGCATTTTTGAGTAGGACGTAGTGGGTGCTGATGTCTGGGTGTATCATGGCTGGGTTTGGTGGGTTTCTAGCGAATAGAGCTTTGTCTTTCACCAAACTGAGGGACTCTCTCAGCTGTTTTTCACCCTCCAAGTTTCATTTTCTGTTCTGTCTTCTCAGTTCCAAAATGTCCGTTTGGTTCTTGACATCTTAATTTGCCCAGCCTCTCTGCCCTCTGCGTCTCACGAGGACCGCCTGGCCGTGGGGCGTCGTGTCTGAGCTGCGCCGGTGCTTCCTGAACCTGTCCCTGCAGCTCCGCTTCTGGCCCTTGAGCCAGAGAACCCTGTGTGCATGGACGCCCACAACGGCACCTGTGTTCATGGTGCGACAGGTGGAGGAGCAGCGCCGAGGGTTAGAGGGGGCTTCGTCGTGGGGCCTCCCTCGCTGCTGCGTCTGCTGGGCCAGAGCCTCCCACTCGGTTTCTCTTGGTAGTGTTCAGTCGGCTTTTCCTGAAACCCAGGTTGCCCAAAAGAGCAGGAGGATGCACCACCAGCTTTACTGTGTCGTAAGAAGGAGTTCAGGTAAAAGCACTTTAAAAAAAAAAATTTATTTATTTATTTGAAAGGCAGAGGGGTTGGCGCTGTGGCACAGTGGGTTAACGCCCTGGCCTGAAGCACCGGCATCCCATATGGGTTCGAGACCCGGCTGCTCCACTTCCTGTCCAGCTCTCTGCTATGGCCTGGGAAAGCAGTAGAGGATGGCCCAAGTCCTTGGACCCCTGCACCTGCGTGGGAGACCTGGAAGAAGCTCCTGGCTCCTGGCTTCAGATCGGCGCAGCTCTGGTCGTTGCGGCCAATTGGGGAATGAACCAGAGGATGGAAGGCCTCTCTTCTCCCTGCCTCTCCTCTCTCTGTATAACTCTGACTTTCAAGTAAAATAAATAAATCTTTGAAAAAAAAAAAAAAGGCAGAGAGATGGAGAAACAGAGCGATCTTTGAGTGGCCGGCTCACTCCCTCAGAGTGCTGCAGTGCCCAGGCTGAGCCTGAAGCCAGGAGCCAGGAGCTCATCCAGGTCCTCCACAGGGGTGACTGGGCCCAAGGACGTGGGATCGTCTGTTGCCTTCCTATGTGTGTTAGCAGGGAGCTGGATTGGAGATGGAACAACTAGGATGGAGCCGGTGCTCTGACAGGGGCGCCAGCATTGCAGGCTGTGCCCCAGCGCCAGCCCCAGGGAAGGCTTTGGGGAGAGCAGGTGTTTGGAGTGACAGAGAGTATTTCCTATGACTTGAAATGATGACAACATAGGTGGCTCTGTTAGTCTTCCCTCGTGACTGCTCATGGCTGGTGTCCAGACTTGGCTGCACGTGAGGAGAACAGGGACTGACCATGTGGTTGGGCACCTCGAGGGCGTGGCCACATGCGGGGCTCTCCTGGCCAGCACCTTCCTGAAGGATGGGTTCTTGGAGGGCCTGCTCGCTGCGAGTGGTGTCCCGAGACCTCGGTGCTGGAGCTGCCCTGGGGTGACATCTCTCATTCACGGTGTGTACGGCCCCACCCCCCAGCATGCTCTTGGGGCCTCCATCGAGGGTGGGTGCTGCGTGGCCTATGAGTAGATCCTGCAGGCAGTGAGGTGTGGGGACTCTGTACAGCAGTGAGCCGGTGTCAGAGCAGAGACCACCCATAACCCCACCACCGCCCGCAGCTGCCCCAGCCTATTCCTCTCGTTTCCCTTCAGCGTTTTGATTTACGTTCTGAGCAGAACCTCAGTTGTGTCGTGTGTATCATTAATACTTTCCGGTGAGCGGTGTCGGCATTTGTCGTGTTGCTTCTGTTTGGACACGGTGCCCTCAGCGGCCGAGCCATCGGCGTCAGGGCAGGCAGCCCAGGACCGTGAGGCCTCACTTGTGGAAAACCTCTGAGGAACAGGCATCTGCTGCTCACGTCCTCCTTCCAGGGATGAGTCACTTCCCCTCTCCGTCCGGATGCGGCTTTTCCTTTTTCCTTTTGTCCTCGCACCCTAATACTCCGTCCTGCGACGCCGGGGTACCCGCTGCCGCTCACGGCAGGGCAGGCGCTGGCCGCGCTTTCCTGTGTTCACGGACACCATGTTCCGTCGTCCGAGAGCCACGAGGACGTGGGCTGCAGTGATGATGTCATTGCGGTAGCTTGGAAAGCATAAAGGCTCAGTAGGTGCTGCCAGTCCGACTCGGAGGTCACATGGGAGCCGGGAGTGGCTGGACGAGAGGGGCGGTGCACGGCCTCCGCGTGTGTGTGCTCTGGCCAGAGAGGAAGTAAACATGGCTGGTGTTTTAGAGTTATCCCTTCCTGTAAGGTGCTATTTTAAGCATGAAAACACCCTAAACCGCATGGATTCCAGCATCTCCTGAGGTGCGTGTCACCCAAGGCAGGAGGTTCCCAAGGGAGGAAGGGAGCCCGGGAAGGCTCTCTCCCCGCCCCCGGGCCGACTGTACCCGCTCCGCACTCTGTGTGGCCTGGCAAGGCAGGACCTTGCGAACTTCTGTTGGTGAGTGAGCCGTGGAGGTGGTGTAGAGCCGCATTCGGCAGACGTGCTGTGCAGGGCTGCAGGTGTAGACGCAGTGTGGGGCGTGACTGTGAGCAGCAGGCTTGAGAAAGAAGGCCCGGGCTATGCCACAGTGGGCTAAGCTGACACCTGCAGTGCCGGCATCCTGTGTGGGCTCCAGGTGGTGTCCCGGCTGCTCCTCTTCAGATCCGGCTCCCTGCTAATGGCCTGGGAAAAGCAGCAGACGATGGCTCAAGTGCTTGGGCCCCTGCCAGCTCCTGGTTCCTGACTTCAGCCTGGCCCAGCCCTGTGCAGCGTGGACATCTGAAGAGTGAGCCAGGGGATGGAAGAGCTCCCTCCCTCCCTCCCTCCCTCCCTCCCTCCCTCCCTCCCTCCCTCCCTCTGTGACTCTGACTCTCAAAATCAATCAGTAAATCTTTTTAAAAAAGTGACTTAACTGTCAAATGCTAAATAACCACGGCCACACTCGAGGGTCTTATTTCATTTTTATTTTTGTTTTTTTTTTGTTTTGCAGTGAGTGTTGAGAAAGTGGACCTGAAGGGACTGTCACACACAAAGAGTGACAGAACTGTGGACTGCTCCTTTGAGGTAAGATGCAGAGTCTTCCCTGGCCTGGGGGCTGGGAAGGAGACACTGGCGCTGTGTCGACGCTCTGGCTGCCGAGGAGAGCTACGCCAGCTGGCCACGGTTCGGCCGTGTTTGCCTCAGTGGCGTCCCGCCGGGTGTGGAGGGAAGACGTCACAGTCCTCGGGACTCTCGGGGGCAGCCTCCCTGGGCTGCGTGGACAGAGGCTCAGCTCCCCTGCTTGGGAACCATGAAGTCGTGACAGTCGAGGCCTGCTGTTGTGACCCCTCCACAGCAGTGGCTGAAACCAGGCAGAAGTTTGTCCTCTGATGTCGGAGTGCGGGGCGCTGGGCTGGGCTGGCCACAGGGCTCCAGCAGAGCCCAGGGAGCTTGGGTGAGCCCCACACCCTTGCTCCCCTTCTCATCCTGCAGCCGGGCCTGTGGACGGAGAGAAGGGAAGGGCTGCTTTTTATCTGTGTCTGATGACGAGCATCGCTGAAAGCAGCCACCAGACGCCTCTACTTAGCTTTGTGGGCCAGAGTGTAGTTTCTTTGTCCCTCTTGGCTGCAGAAGAGGCCGGGGAGGGGTGTGGGCTGGCTGCCGTGTCCCTGCCAGATGAGGTTCTGCGACCTGCTGCCTGCATGTCTGCCCCCGGCGTCGGCGGCGGGCGGCTCGGCGGCAGTCTCCTGTCTGGCGTGCACGCTGTGTGCTGCTGAGTGGAGGAGGCCCTCGCCTGGCTTGGCAGGTGCTGCGCCGTGGGGGCCGCTGCTGCTCCGTGGCTGCGGTTCCTCGTGCCGCAGGGCTGCGTGGCGTGGGTGTGGAGATGGTTGCCGGTGGTGATGCCGGGCCCTGGCACTGGGGGGCGCTGGGTGCCAGAGTGCAGGCTGCCCGGGGAAGTGCTGCCGTGGCTGTGGACACTGTGGGTAGGTCGGTGGCCACGGTGCTCCTGGTGTTGCCGTCACTGGGGAGGTGGCTCCACGTGGCTTCTCCTTTCTCTGCTCTCATTCCCAGGCCTTCTCAGCGAGGGGGCTTGTGCCAGCCTGCAGCAGGGGCTCTTGTGATAGACCAGGACCGGACAGGTGGTATTTGGAGAGAGGTGGGCGGCCCAGTCTGGTTCTGGTGGGCATGGCTTTGCCCGGAGCCTTGGTCCAGTTATTGGCGGTAAGGAATTCAGGGCCATATGGTGTGATGGATCCTAGCTCTGGACCCCATGCTGCTCGTGGCTTTTCCCTGAAGAAACAAGCCTGGGCCTGTCCCAGCTTTCCCGGAGAGAGAGTCCTGACTGGGACGGGGCCCCTGGAAGTCCCCACGTGTTCCTGGTCGTCACCGGCTTTGCTCCCACACGGTTAGCAGGGGAGTTCCAGGACGTGGAGCAGAAGTGCCACTTACACGACAAGGCCTGCTTTTCCTGAAGGAAGACTGGTGGATGTCAGCTGTCACGCAGCGACAGGGACGAGTCTGAAGGCGACCAGAACGTGGCCCTGCATCCCAGTTGTACTTGTGTGTTTAGGAGACGGGCAGTGCCACAGCATGGTTTTGGCATTGCTTCCTTGATAGGCACGAAGGGAGGCACGGCTCTCAGTGCCCATGCCAGGTGCAGTGGTGACTCGAGGCGCAGCCATCAACATGGAGAGCAGCTTGCCGTGCGCTTACGTGGCCTGCCCTCCACCTCCCAGGGGAGGTTTTCTGTTTCAGAAATTAACACGGTGATTCCAAAAATTATATGGAAGGAGCTAGGGGGCTCACAGCAGTGAGAAAAGAAGGAAGGCTGGAGGCGTCGCACTCCCTGGCTGCCGGATGCCTGGGTGCTGGCACAGGGTGCGGGCGCTGGTGCTGCTGTTGGGAGACTGGGGTCGGACTTGTGTCCCCCTCCGTGTTGGCTGCAGGCAGGGCACTGGGGACAGACCTCCAGGTGCAGAGCAGTGGCCTCCACCTGTGCCTCCGCCCCGTGCAAAACGGACTCAGACCTGACCACAGACCGCACTGTAAAGCCTCAGACTGGGAGAGAGGAGAAAGCGATGTGACTGCAGCTAAGCAGAGAGCACTGTGAGAGACAGGAGACAGGCAGGGAACCAGCCTGTCTGCTGGTCTGTGCTGCAGAGGCCTGCAGCAGCCCACAGCGCACCCTGGTCTCCCACGGGGGTGCAGGGCCCAGGCGCGGAGCCACCCTCGCTGCCTGTGTGCATTAGCAGGCCCACGGCTGGGCTGTGAGCTGCCCTCCTAGGCCAGGGTTTCCTGAGTGCAGCGCTGAGGGCGCGGGGCTGGAGGGAGCCCTGCAGTGCAGCTCCGGCAGAGCGAGGAACTCACTCTTGGGAAGGCACCGTGAGGAGAAGGCAAAGTCACGGATCCGGTGCAGAGGCCAAAGAGCACCAGACTTGCAGAGTTGACCACGGGGGACATAGGGGCGGCCGCTGACCCCTGTGGAAGATCGCGCGCACGGGCACGAGGACCTGGAGGCTCTCACTTTGCTCCAGAAGTTAGAGGTGCGCCTGAGCACCACACCTGGATTCCCGCGGGAGGCCACGCTGACGTGCGCAGACGCCGTGCATGGGACAGATGCGGCCGCCCCCAGACGCAGAGGAGTCCGACACACGGTTCTAGGAAGCGCAGCCCAACCCACAGCCGCAGAAAGCAGCCCAGTGCTGCCCTGGGGAGGCCAGGGGAGGCCCTCGGAAGCCAGGAGAGGCTGGGTGGTGGGCATGGCTGGCTCCTGGGCAGCAGGTGCTTCCTTGGGTAGAAATGTGTCAGGAGATCAGAGTGTACACTTCACATAGGTGCAGTTGTAACTCAGAAACTCATTCATTCTTAAAGATTTTGTGTATTTGAAAAGCAGAGAGAGAGAGAGAGAGAGAGAGAGAGAGAGCACGAGCACTGTCACCTGCTGGTTCACTCCTCAAAAGGCCTCTGTAGCTGGGGCTGGGCCAGGCTGAAGCCAGGAGCTGGGGCTTCTTCCCGGTCTCCCACATGGGTGCGGGAGCCCAAGCACTTGGCTCATCTTCTGCTGCTTTCCTAGGCGCATAAGGGAGCTGGATCAGAAGGAGAGTAGCCGGGACTCAAACCAACACCCATACAGGAGGTTGGCATGTCAGGCTACGGCTTAACCCGGAAACTTTTTTTTTTTTTTGACAGAGTGGACAGACAGAGACAGAGAGAAAGGTCTTCCTTTGCCGTTGGTTCACCTTCCAATGGCCGCTGCGGCCGGCGCTGCGCTGATCCGAAGGCAGGAGCCAGGTGCTTCTCCTGGTCTCCCATGGGGTGCAGGGCCCAAGCACTTGGGCCATCCTCCACTGCACTCCCGGGCCACAGCAGAGAGCTGGCCTGGAAGAGGGACAACCGGGACAGAATCCGGCACCCCGACCGGGACTAGAACCCGGTGTGCCGGCGCCGCAGGTGTAGGATTAGCCTGTTGAGCCGCGGCGCCGGCCCGGAAACTCATTTTTAAAGGAGATTGCTTGGAGTCAGCCTTTCCTCTTATCCGCGGAACCTCGACTGAGGGAGTGAAGTGGTGTCAGTTGTCCTTTGTGAGTGGGCGGAATCACGCAGGCCCAGCGGCAGCAGCAGTGGCTGCCCCGGCTGTGCTGTGGGGTTCGGACAAGGAGGTGGCTTCTCCCCGCCTCGCTCAGTTTCCAGGCGTGCTTCTCTCTGAGCTTTCTGTCTAGTGCTGAGCGAGTTTGTTGTTACTCTGTGGAGCGGTGTGAGGAACTGCGTAGCGACCCGGGTGCACAGTCTGCAGAGGAGAGGAGCCCTGTCGTCTTTCATGAGTCGTTCACTTGGGCTGGAATTACAGTTGCTGCTAACGAGTTCCCGAGGCCATAGATCAGTATGCAGAAAGCAGATGCTAGAATTTGTTAAAATAGGAAGTATTTGTGTGCATGGGGTATGCCTACATTTTACCAGCTTTTCCAAATTCACTCTTAAGAAACTAAATTGGAGTGACTGTTGGCCGCAGGGCTTAAGACACAGCTTGGAGGGAGCCAGGCTGTGGCTTGGTGGCTTACAAGGGTCTGTGGCGCTGGTATCCCGTGTCAGAGTGCTGACTAGAGTCCCAGCTGCTCTGCCTCTCATCCAGCTCCCTGCTAGCGCACCTGGGAAGCAGTAGAGGGCGGCCCTAGGGCTCGAGTTGCTGTGGGGCCCAGACACACACACACAACACTTGGGGCACCTGCCTGGTTCAAGTCCCGACTTCTCTGCTGCTGTTTGTTGAGATTGATAGATTTATTTGAAAGGGTTACAGAGGAGGAGTGACAGGCAGAGAGAAAGGTCTTCCTTTTGCTGCTTCTTTCCCCAAATGGCCACAATGGCCAGGGCTGGGCCAGGCTGAAGCCAGAAGCTGAAAAAGCATCATCCAGGGCCCACACGGGCGCAGGGGCCGAGGCTTATCCACTGCTTTCCTAGGTGCGTTAGCAGAGAGCTAAATGGGAAGTGGAGCAGCCAGGACTCAAACTGGTGCCCTCGTGAGATGCTGGCCCTGCAGGCGACAGCGTTACCCGCCACGCCACAGGGCCGGCCCCTCTCTGCTTCTGCTCCAGATTCCTGCCAGTGCACATTCTGGGGGTGCAGCAGCGATGGCTTACATACTCGGATCCTTGCCACTCTGTAGGAGACACCCAGATGAGTTCCGGGCTCTTGCCTTTAGCCTCACCCAACCCTGGCTGTTGTGAGCATTCGGGGAGTGAGCCAGCAGATGACGCGCGCTCTCTGGCTGCCTGTGTGGTGCAGTGGGACATCTGTATGCCGTATCAGAATGCCGGGATCAAGTCCCACCTCTGCCTCTGAACCAGCTTCCTGCGGACGAGCCTGGGAGGCAGCAGATGGTGCCTGAGAACTCGTTCCTGCTGCCCACCGGGAGAACAGGATGGAGTTCCTGACTCCTGGCTTTGCTTGGTCCAGCCCTAGCTGAACCAGCTGGGACGTGAACCAGCAGATGGCTCTCTGCCTTTCAAATAAATAACACTTAACCATTTATGAAAGGGAAATACTTTAATTAGCAGTGTTTTCTTATCACAGTCAGGAAACAAGGAAACATCAGGTTCCCCACCTGTGGTGACTGTGGTTGTGTTGGCTTAAGAATTGTAGAGCAACAACAAAAACTCTTTTTGAGCCATTATTCCTTAAAATTTTCCAGACATGACACTTTTTAAGTGTTGCATTTTAAACATTGATTTTTAAATCTAAACCAGTGTTACCTTCCTGCTGTGACGACTGTGTCTCTGTGAGCAAAGGCATTCCTGGGGCTTGTCCGTGTTGATCGGGTGCACATGTGTGTGTGCGCGCGCGCGCAGGAAGCTGGCACACGGCAGCGGGAGTGCGTGCTTGGTGGCTATGTGGTGCATGGGTGCCTGGGGCGGCAGCCGTGGCTAGTGCGTGTGGCGTGCCTGGGGCGGCAGCCGTGGCTGGTCCGTGCGGCGTGTTCTTAGCACCTTTCCCTTCCACTCACTGGCCTGTTTTCCCCGTGGTGTTCTCTCGCTTGGTTGCTCTCTGTCTCTGTCTCTCTCGGTTCCTCATGTTTCTTAACAAGAGCTTGGAAACCTGGCTGCCCTGAGGTCTTCCTGTCAGCTCTATCTTGGGAGTTGTGGCTCGTGGAGCGCCTCAGCCGGTGCCCCCTGTACTTGGCGGCCTTGTCCAGGCCACCCCTGAGCCTGGGGTCTCTCTGTCGTCAACCTGCGGCCTTTCTCCGTCGCCAGCTCGGACCCCCTGTTGTTGGGTTGTGTGTTGTCCTTCGTCCTTGTTCTGGGAGTTGCCCTGGTGTTTAGGGTATGTAGGAGGCGCAGTTTTGAGGCTTGTGGTGCCTGGAGATGTCTCGGGGGGTACAGCCGCAGTGCTGGCTCTGGGCTGAGCCCTGTCTCCCCAGCAGTCGGGGTACACCACATCGTGTGGCTTTGCGCCCTCCTGCTGTGCCCTACGTGAGGTTTGGGGAGTCCGTCTGAGCTGTGCCGTGGTACCAGCCTGCATTTCCCAGGGCGCTCAGACTCAGTGGATGCTGTGAGTGTGAAGACTTGTGTCTGTCCAGCTGGGGGCTTTCTCTCTAATTATTTCTTCGCTGACCTTCGATCTGTGTCTGCTTGTTTGCAAGCTCTTGCTGTGTGCGTGCTCCTCCGGAACAGGCCCGCGCGTCGTGTGGAGGATGGCCTGGCGCCTCCCATGCGTGGCTGCGCCCTTGCTCCCTCCCGGAGAGCGTGCGTCTGGCGGCTCCTCCTTGGTAGCATCCTGTCCTGGATGTGTCTCTAGCTCCCGAAATACTCGTGCCAGCTAAGGATTCTGCTTCCACCGCTGGTTGGTTGTGCTTGACAGCCTTGGTCTGGGGAGGCTCAGGGGTCCTGGGCTGCCTGCCCCTTGCCTGTGAGCCCTGGCCTTGGACTTAGCCCGAGATGTCAGGGTAGGCTGCTTCTGGGTTCAGATGAGGCACCTGCTGCATCGCGTGCTCCAGCGCTGATGCCACGTGGAGAACATTTCCATGGAGAGTCAAGCGGAAATGGAGCCGGAGGAACCCCACTGTGCCTGTGAGGACCGCCGTGCGCATTCAGGAGAGCCGCGTGTGAGCGTTTGCTTAGCAGCTTTTCCTGGTGGCAGCTGACTTGCGTTTGGGTAACACACAAGTCTAGAGCATGTTTCAGGCCAGCAGGGTGTAGGCCTGTTCTCCCCTCCGCCACTCCTCCCAGCCGTGCTTCAGGTCAGCCAGCAGTGAGGCAAGCATGAGAGTTCAGGCCTTGCAAAGGGACTGGCGCCCCCTGCAGGCTCAGGCAGACTGCAGCCCACTGTAGGGAACTTGGTGCCCAGGGCTGGCCTTTCTGTCGCCAGCTCTGTGCACTAAGGGAAGTGAACAGAGTCGTGAGTAGCTGAGCACACGTGAAGCAGGTGGTCTGTGTTGGCATCGCGTGATCTGTGTTTGCATTCATGGGATGTCGATGTGGAAGGAGAGAGAGAGTACTCCAGCTGGGAACAGGTGGGGGGCTGTGAGGAAGTGACATTTCCCTCTACACATTTACTTGGCGGGGTACCAGCTGTCAGCAGTGCTTTGGGTGCACACTGCGTGTCCCGACCCCGAGGCCTGGGGCGTCTGCTCCCAGCAGCCTTTTGGAGCAGCAGTGGGGGCGTTTCCATTGTAGAGCAGGTAGACTGGCGGCAAGGCATGTTCCCAGAAGCCTTGAGGGAGTCTCGAGAGATCTGGGAATTGCAAGGTGGAGCTTGCGTGGGATGCAGGCCTGACTCTGAGCAGCCCAGAGTGCCCCCGACCCCTGGCCGGCACGGAGGCAGCCATCTGCCACCTGGTGTGGCTCTGTTATCCCCGGGCTGTCTTTAAGCAAGTCTGGGTGTGATCCTCTCTTGTGGGTGGAAAGAAGCGTTTGGTCACTTCGTTTCCTGACTTGGAATCCTCCGCTGACTTCTGGCTTTTATGTGGTAGTTGTCCCTCCCTGATGCGGCCCTGCCCTTGTCTTCACACGCTGACCCTGTCGTGCCCTGGGAGCTCTGGCACACCCCACAGCAGACCTCACCTGGCTTCACTCTGCTTTTCCTGACTCTCCCCACCTGGCCGCAGTCCTCCCCCGCCCCAAGCCCTCCTCTCTCGGAAGAACTGCTGTTCTGTGGTCAGAGTCACTCAGGCCAACCCACGCTTCTGCCCCAGATCGACTGTGTCCATGTGGACGCGCTGGGAGGCGCGCGTGCGCTGTGGCGAGCCCACGCTGCAGTGCGTCTGGCGCACCCGGCACGGCTGCGCTCTCAGACACAGGGACGGCTCCCAGGCACCAGGCTCAGGACGTGTGAATGCTCACTCCCCAGGCGCACGCACACTAGGGCAGTCACACCTGGACGTGTGTGCTGTGAATTAAGTATGTGCTGTCTGTTTTTAAGGTTTGTTTGTTTATTTGTTTTTAAGGTCTTGTGGTCTGATTCTTCAGTAACATCAGTAACCAAATCTTCCTCTGAAGTGACTGACTTTGTTTCAAAGGTAAGGTGACTAAGGGATCCTCCGAGACTTACAAGGTTCACACTCGCAGGTGGTGCTCATTCTGTGGAGTAACTTCATAGGTGCCTTCCCTGGGCAGCCGCGCCAGGCCTGTGCCAGCGTGAGTCCAAGGCCAGCTCGTGGCAGGGGTGCGGCCCGGAGCCTGCGCTCCCCAAAGCACTGTTCATGGCAGGGGTGCGGCCCGGAGCCTGCGCTCCCCAAAGCACTGTTCACGGCAGGGGTGCGGCCCGGAGCCTGCGCTCCCCAAAGCACTGTTCACAGCAGGGGTGCGGCCCGGAGCCTGCGCTCCCCAAAGCACTGTTCACGGCAGGGATGTGGCCCGGAGCCTGCGCTCCCCAAAGCACTGTTCATGGCAGGGGTGCGGCCCGGAGCCTGCGCTCCCCAAAGCACTGTTCACAGCAGGGGTGCGGCCCGGAGCCTGCGCTCCCCAAAGCACTGTTCACGGCAGGGATGTGGCCCGGAGCCTGCGCTCCCCAAAGCACTGTTCATGGCAGGGGTGTGGCCCGGAGCCTGCGCTCCCGTGCACTGCTCACGGCAGGGGTGTGGCCCAGAGGCTGCGCTCCCCATGCACTGCTCACAGCAGGGGTGCGGCCTGGTGCCTGCACTCCCTATGCACTACTTGTGGCAGGGGTGCGGCCTGGAGCCTGCACTCCCTGTGCACTGCTCACAGCAGGGGTGCAGCCTGATGCCTGCACTCCCTGTGCGCTGCTTGTGGCAGGGGTGCAGCTCTGTGCCTGGGCTCCCTGTGCACTGCTCGTGGCAGGGGTGCAGCCTGGAGCCTGTACTGCTCGTGGCAGGGGTGCAGCCCCGTGCCTGCGTTCCCTGTGCACTGCTCATTGCAGGGGTGTGGCCTGGAGCCTGTACTGCTCATGGCAGGGGTGTGGCCTGGAGCCTATACTGCTCATGGCAGGGGTGCGGCCTGGTACCTGCGCTCCCCGTGCACTGCTCGTGGCAGGGGTGCGGCCCGGAGCCTGCGCTCCCCCTGGACTGCTCGTGGAGTGGAGACAGCAGGCAGGCACCATGTGCAGGCACGGCCACCTCAGGAAGCAGCTCTGCGTGTGCACTCGCGTGTGTGCACTCACGCCAGCACGCTGGCCTCTGCCAAGTCTCGTGGTTTTCCTAGAAAAGCTGTGGGTGGACACGTGGCCTCGGCGTGGGCGATGGTGTCGGATCTGGCCTGGCCTCGCGGGCGTGAGAGGACAAGCCAGATCCAACAGCTCCTGGGGTTACAGATAGCTTCCAGGAATCCACCTGCAGTACCGCCTTTCTCCCCTTCCCAGCTGCCTCCTTGGTGTCCAAGAACCAGTTTCTCCGGATCCCACAGATGCCTGCCAGAGCTCTGGCCGCAGACTGGTTGTCTGCCCAGGTGTCCCCTGGCTGCTGCTCAGCCTGCCCGTCTCGGGTATCTGAGTTGTCATCTCATCACTTGGAGAGTCCCTGTCTGGTCGCTTCAGCCCTCTCTCCTCCCCAGTCCCCGCTCTGGGCCTGCAGCTGCGTGTGCGGGCAGGGGCGCATGAGAAAGTGCCCAGCCCTGGGGCCGGGCCTCTCTCCCTCTCACTCTGGGCTTCAGCTGGGATCATTTGCCCCCTGCTGGCTTTTCCCCCTCCTCTGCCCAGGCTGCCGGGGAGCCTGTTGAGTGCGCTGCATTCCGGATGGCTGCTCCGAGCGTTTTCCACCAGTGTTGCCCGTTGTGTGCCGCTCTAACCAGGTCAGCCAGCAGTGAGGCAAGCGTGAGCATTCAGGCCTTGCAAAGGGACTGGCGCCCCTGCTGAATTTACTGTGTCCATCGCGGTTCCTGGGAGTCTCTGCCTGAGACCTGCAGGCTCCAGGCCATTCCCACGTGTCTCGATGGTAGCTGGCAGTGTGTCTGGGACATTCTGGTTGGAGGGTAGATGTCGTGTTTGGGAGAGTCTCAAGACTGTGGAGAGCAGTGTTTGCTGGGAGTGGACGCATGCTTCTCAGGCCAAGTGGGGTCCTGGAGTGGAGGGGACTTCGGAGGTGTGTGGCCCTGGTCACCCACTCACACCCGAGTGGACGGCTGCCACTGCCCGGGCCGGAAGTGCCCCCTGGGGTAGGTGGGTCCTGGGGTCTTGCTGTGCTTGCTCTAGCAGTCCTTGTATGCCTGTGGCCCAGAGCAGAGGCGCCTCGACGTGTGGGCGCTGTTCCCAGGCAGGCCTCTGTGGGGCTTCTGGGGAGGCTTTCTCGGCACTGCAGGACTGACCTCTGCTCTGTGTCGGTGCAGGGTCTTGGTCTCAAGGGGGCTTCATGCCTCTCCCTGGGCCGGGGGTGTTCGCCCTACCCCTCTCACAGAAGTGGTGGGTCTCTCCATGGCCTGGGCCAGAGCGGGAAATACTGCCCCTGCCTGTCCGCCATGACTGGGGCTTTGCTTCAGACTGGGAAGGTCTCTGGGGAGCACACAGGGTGGGTCTCGGCCGCTGCGCCCGGCACAGGCACCTGGGGAGGTGGGCACGTCCTTCTGCCTGGAACTGGGCCTTGCTCAGCCTGTAGGGATGTGCGGAGCAGCTTTCTGTCCTGCCCTGACGGTGTGACGGCCACCTCTTCCTCACGCGGTGCCGCAGGTGTGAGCTTGTGTGTCCGCCCTCAGGGCTCGGCCCCTGCTTGAAACCCAGTTCCTGTGGTGGCCTGCGACGTGGTGTCTGGTGGCCGCAGGTGGGTTAGGGCCGTGGAGCTTGGCGAGCTGTTTCTCAGTGTTGACGGTGGGCTGCTGCTCTTGTGGCTGTCTCCACGCTAGGGCTGTGGCGCCCCGGACTCGCTGATGGAGCGGTGTCACGTCACGTCGTAGCCACGGATGCCAGCAGCGGGCCCGCCCAGGCCGTCCTGGCTGAAGGCTCCTGCTCTGACGCGCTTCCTGCACCTCTCCTTCTCTTTCAGCTCTCGCAGCTCCACCCTGAGGAGAATTTGGAGAAACTCATTCCTTGCCTCGCCGCCCCAGATCCATTTTATGCAGAGCGAAACCACATGGATCTGGAAGCAGGCCTGAGGTAAGTCCACACGGGGCAGCTGCGGGCTGATGCGGGGCACACAGGTCGCCTGGGGGTGGGTCTGCACGTGGCCTCGGGGACGTTCAGCGGCTGCGGAGCAGGGAGGAGGGTCTTGGGGCTGAGAAGGCTCATTGCATCGCTGCTCTGTGAGCCAGATTGAGGCTGCTCCAGGGTTACACTAGGGCCTCCTAAACAGTTTCTCAGGGACCGGTGACCATGGCCTGGCCTCTGCCCACACCGCGACATGGCGCACAGGTGCTGGGAACGTGGGCGGGGACTAGCCCTGCTGCCAGGGTCCTGGGCTGGCATTTGAGCGCCTGTGGGTGACCCCAGCTGCTCTCGTGTTCTGGTCCTGGCTCACGGCCCTGTAAGATGTGACCGACACAGCATAAAGGAGACGGGAGGAGACTGAGGACAGACGGACGGAGAGTGGGGCGGAGCAGGAAGAACGAAGGGGCATATAACTCGAGTGCCGTTGTCTGGGATGTGCACGTCTCCCGACTGCTGGCGTGTCCTCCCCCTTCTCTGTGGTGCGTTTCCATGCCGACAGAGCCCCTGTTTGCTCTCTAGGTACCTGGCTGCGTTACCGTCTCACGTGTTAAAAAATGACCAGGTGAAGAAGTTTTTCAGCACTGCATCCCCCAGCCCGCAGCTGCAGAGTGCGAGTGAGTCTGGGGCCCGGGGCCGCCGCGAGGGAGGCGCTCGGTCCGCAAGCTTCTGTGCTGCCTGTTGTCTACTTTGCAGGTCCCGGGAACCCCTCCCTTTCCAAAGTGGGTGCCATGATGGGCGTGTCTGGAAGGTGAGGACTGGGCTCTGCAGCCCCCACGGCCCTCCCAGCTGCGTCTCGGTCACTGCTTCTGCCGTCCTTGTCACCTGTGCCGGGCAGGGTAGGGGCAGGGGTGGAGGAGCGGGAATGGTGCGGGTAACATCCCCGAGCAGTTCTCTGTGCCCCTGGAGCTGCGATTCCCGGGGACTCGGGGCCGGTGCGCGGCTGGGCTCAGCCTTGTTTCCGTCGGCATCGCCATGGGGGTGTGAGCACAGTGCCTGAGAGGCATCCCGTCTGGAGTGACACTGACCCGCATAGCTGGCTGGGTGCCAGGTTTCTGAGGCGTGCTGGCCCCCTGGCCCCCGCGCCCCGGTAAGCACCCAGGAGATATGTGTGTGGGCTTGCAGCTTGAGGTGGGAGGAGCCTGGGCTTCACGTTTCACAGAATGACAGCTTGAACATTAAAGATTCCGTCGCCAGTTTTAATGATTTCTCAGTTCACCCTGTGACTTGAGGGTCAGCATTGGCCTGGCAGGTAAGATGCCAGCCGGGCTGTCCACGCCCCACAGCACACTGCCTGGGCCCCGGTTCCAGCTTTTTGTAAATGCAGACCCTGGGAGGCGATGGTGACGGCTCACGTAGTTGGTTTCCTGCCACCCACTTGGGAGAGCCAGATTGAATTCCCTGCTTTGGCCTGGCCTAGTCCTGGCTTTTGTGAACATTTATGGAGTGAACTAGCAGAGGAGGTGCTCACTCTCTGTCTCTCAAATAAGTAAATAAATAATTTTAAAAATAAAGAACAAAAGTAACAGAAAGCAATCAGGCAGCTCAGACAGAAGCCTTGGGTGACCACTGTGTATACATCCACGTGCACACACAAGTGCGTCCTCACTTGCGGATGTGTGCACACAGGTAGACACGCACATGTGTGCGCACAGGCACGCCTGCCTCGAGCATGCACAGATGGCAGGCACACGTGTGTGCAGGAAGGGCCATCGCTAGGGATTGGAAGTGCAGGCTGGGGTGGGGGAGGGGCAGCAGTGGAAGAGGGTGGTGAGGCGGGAGGCAGTCCAGGAAGAGAACCTGGCGCGTGATCCTCGGTGGAGCCCGTCTGTGCCTGCCCCCCTCGTCCCACAGACCCGTGTGCGGAGTGGCCGGCATCCCCTCGGCTCAGAGCGGCGCCCAGCACCACCTGCAGCATGCAGCCAGCACAGCCGCCGCCCTGCCCCACTGCTCTCACTCGGGGGCCCCCACGGGCTCGGCGCTGGCCTACCGGGCCCAGATGGACGCCTCGCCCGCCATCCTGATGCCTTCCAGTCTGCAGGCCCCTCAGACCCAGGAGCAAAATGGGATTCTGGACTGGCTGAGGAAGCTGCGTTTGCACAAGTATTACCCTGTCTTCAAGCAGCTCACCATGGAGAAGGTGCGTCGGCGCGAGCACAGGCCTTCTCTGCCGCCTCTCTTCTGGCCTCAGTTCTTGAGGAACTGAGTTGTTTCCAGAATACCTGGGAGGCACAAGAACTAAGGGTGGAAAAGCGCCACCTGGTACTGGCAGGAAACAGTGCACGGACGCTAATGGGGCAGCAGGGTCTCCCTCCCCCGAGCCACGCCCCCTCGGCGCAGCCTGTGGAGCGCTGGCTCCACACCATGGCACGGCTGCCGTCCAGGGTGCAGAGCACACACCCGGGGCAGTCGCACGCAGCGAGGGAGTGCTTTGCTTTCGTTAAAATGCTGACATTGCTTGAGCCGTGATGTCCCTGACGGGAGGCTGGAGCTCCCCCTGCTGGACGGAATGGCTTGGTGGCTTTAACTACAGAGATGTCGCTGATGCAGCCCCAAGTCAGGCTTTCGCTTCATAGTAGAGAGCAAACGTGAAGCACGTGTGTAATGCCAAGTCACCATGTGTGAGTGCCCCGCTCAACTCGGTGCCATGGGTGCTGTGCACACGGAAGCACCCGCTGCCTGCCGGGGTCCCGCCTCTGGGCTGGCTTCCCCTTCAGTCCCGGCGACCTCTGCTTTGTTGCCTGCCGGGGCTGCCCCCCCCCCAGAAGGGTGGTGCTGGGGAGGGGGCCCCCGCGAGGCCTGCGCAGCCCACACTCAGACGGCAGGTCAGTCAGCAGGTGGACGATTCCCCGTGCCAAGGTCAGGGTAGCCTGATGTGCTTGCGTGCCCAGAGGTGGGTGGTATGAGCGCAGCCCCAGGGAAGAGCCCCCCCTCGGGCAGTGACTCTGTGCCTCGTCTCTCCCTGGGCAGTTCCTGAGCCTCACTGAGGAGGATCTCAACAAGTTTGAGTCCCTCACCATGGGAGCGAAGAGGAAGCTGAAGACTCAGCTGGAGCTGGAAAAGTGAGTGTGGGAGTGTGTCAAGCGTGTGTTCCACTTGGTTTCTCAGGAGCCGGGGTGAGCGCAGTCGTGCTGCCCACGTGGCGCCGGCCCAGCCAGGAAGGGCGGCTGCGGCGCACTGATGAGTCGGGTTTCCCCGAGGGGCTGGGAGCCGCTTTGTACTGAACGTTTGTGAAACAGTAAGAGGAGGCTTTGACTTGCTGCTGTGCTTTGGTGTTGCACAGGGAGAAATCGGAGAGACGGTGCCTGAATCCCTCTGCCCCGACCTTGGTCACCAGCAGTGGGGTGGCCCGTGTGCCCCCCACCAGCCACGTGGGGCCCGTGCAGACGGGGCGCAGCGGCCACACGGCAGGTACGGGGGCGGGGTGTTCCTTCTCAGCTCGCGCTCTGGCCGTTTGTAGTTTGCACTCTACTCAGCTTGCGGTTTTCACACGGGCAGCCTCCAGTGCAGGGGAGCGTGGACAGTTGGTCAGCAGCTGCGGGCTGGGCACCGGGAGAGTGCGAGGGGCGAGGGGCCCGGGGCTGGGGGTGCGTGGCTGTGTGGCCACATCCTCGCCCAGCCCCAGCCCCAGCGGCCCTGGCTCCCGGCCCACCTCCCCACCCTCAGGGACGCGAAGTCCCAGAGACTCTCTCCTCCCTGCCTTCTCCGTGTCCTGCGGAAGAGAGTGGAGACAGCTGTCTTCTCCCAGGGTAGGACAGGCCCTCCCTTCCGTGACAGGAACAGAAAGGGTGCCGGGGACCACGAAGGAGCCTTCCAGGGTCCACTCTGAGCGGCCGCTTGACTAGAGGCCGTGCGTCGCGTGTGGGCGTGGCGGGGCTCGGCGCAGTTTAAGGAGTGCCCACGCAGGATGGCTGCGAAGCCTCTGTCCTCGGCTTGGTGTGGGGGCGCTGGGAGTGTTGTTCTCAGTCCCGGGCGCTGTTAGAATCTCCGCTGAGATTGGCCTTTGACCTTGGCCTTCTCTGACCCTGGGAAGCGGTGCTGGCGCCCAGCAGGGGGCAGCCGCCATCACAGTGGGCACCGCGACACCGTCCCGTCCCTTCTCTGCAGAGCTGCGGGTGGAAGTGGAGCAGCCCCCTCACCGGATGCCCCGGGAAGGCAGCTCTTCCGAGTACTCCAGCTCCTCCTCCAGCCCGAGGGGCGCGCAGGCCCGAGAGGAGAGCTCTGACAGCGCCGAGGAGAACGACAGACGTAAGGGCGCTGGGGGCTGTGGCCGTGCTGCCCCGCTGTCCCCGGCGCCCGGCGCTGCTCACGCGCTCTCTGCCCCTGTAGGTGTGGAGCTGCACCTGGAGGGGCCCGAGAAGGAGAAGCCCGTCACGCTGCTGAACCACTTCCCGTCAGGCTCGGCCCGGCCCACGGCCCAGGTTCTGCCCGTGCAGAACGAGGCCGGCTCCAGCCCGTCAGGCCACCACCCTGTGCCCCCACAGATGGTGCCCGCCGGCTCGCACCTGGCACCCCTCCGCATGCTGAACTCCGTGCACAAGGCGGAGAGGGGGGCCTCGGACGTGAAGCTCCTCTCGTCTTCCGTGCACTCGCTCTTGTCTCTGGAAGAAAGGAGCAAAGGGTCTGGACCAAGAAGCAGCATCAGAGTGGACAAGAGCTTCGGCAGCGCCGTGATGGACGCGCTGCCCGCAGCCCCGCCCCATCAGCCCGTGCAGGGCCTCTCCGGACTTGCGGAGAGCAGCTCCATGTCACCCACGGTCTCCTTCGGGCCCCGGGCCAAGGTCGTGCACGCATCCACGCTGGACAGGGTGCTGAAGACAGCTCAGCAGCCGGCCCTGGCCGGGGAGAGCAGCACGGCCGCCGCGGGCACGCCGAGCACGGTCCTCCACGTGGCCCGGCCCCCCATCAAGCTGCTGCTCTCCTCCTCGGGGCCTGCTGAGCCCGCCATTTCGGGGCCAACGTCCTGTCCCAACAGCGTGCAGATCAGCGTGCCCCCCGCGGTGATCAGCCCCCGGACTGCTCTCTACACCGCCAGCACCAAAGTTGCCTTCCCTGCAGTGAGCAGCATGCCCGTGGGCCCCCTGCAGGCCGGCTTCTGCGCCAGCAGCAACACTGCCTCCTCCAGCAGCCTCCCCTCCACGTCCTTCGCGAACGTGACCGCGCTGCCCAGCTGCCCGGCCCCCAGCTCGAGTCCTGCGCTTGCTTCCGTCCCCGAGAGCAGTTTCTACAGCAGCGGCGGCGGCGGCGGCGGCTCCACGGGGAACATTGCTGCCTCGAGTCAGAGCCACCACCACCACCACCACCACCAGCAGCCGCCGGCGCCCCCGCAGCCCGCGCCGCCCCCGCCCGGCTGCATGGTGTGCACGTCGTGCGGGTGCAGCGGTAGCTGCGGCTCCAGCGGCCTGACCGTCAGCTACGCCAGCTACTTCCAGCACCCGTTCTCGGGGCCGTCCGTGCTTACGTTCCCCTTCCTGCCCTTCAGCCCCATGTGCAGCAGCGGCTACGTCAGCACCCAGCAGTACGGCGGCGGCTCCACCTTCCCCGTCGTGCACGCGCCCTACAGCAGCAGCGTGGCCGCCGAGCCCGTCCTGGGTGGCCAGTCCTCGTTTGCCGTGCCGCCCATGCAGAACTTCATGGCCGGGCCGGCCGGGGTGTACCAAACCCAGGGGCTGGTGGGCGGCAGCAACGGCTCCAGCCACAAAAAGAGCGGCAATCTGTCTTGTTACAACTGTGGGGCCACCGGGCACCGCGCGCAGGACTGCAAGCAGCCGTCCATGGACTTCAACCGGCAAGGTGAGTGGGCTGCTGCGCACACGCTGTGGGTGCGGACGGTAGCGAACCTCCTCCTTTTTAAAGCAAGAAGTAGTTTTTCAGGCGTTCTCTGACACAGCAGGAAGATCCTAACGCGAGGCTGGAAGTCTGCGCCGGGACTGCCAGGGGCTCGGTGACCGTACGCCCCTCCCTTCAGGGCATGGGCTGCTTGTGGGTGGGGCCAGGGCAGCCAGTGTGGGAGGCTTCGTGCCACCTGCCCGCCTCCGGCCCCCGAGTGCAGCCTGGCAGTTGAGAGCCCACAGGATGGAGCTCACTGCCTCCTCCGTGTGCCCCGCGTGGTTGTGGTCTTGTGTGCATCATATCATCCCTCCCCCCACCCCCCCCGGTTGCTCTTTGTTGTCCACCAGGGCTGAGCTCAGGTGCGTGACTGCTGTTTGCTGGGGATGGGGACATTGGCTCTGACTCTGTGCCCACTCCCTGTGCCACCCTTGAAGCCGCTTGGTCTCTGCGTGGACTTCCATGACTTCCGTGAGGGCTGTGTGGGGCTCCGGTCTCGGCGTCGCCTGGAAAACAGCTCCTGTGACCCAGGAGGCGTGATGGCTGCAGCCCTCCCACGTGGCTGGGTCTCCTGAGGTTGGCGAAGGTGGCCGCGGCACGCCCACCTGCCCTGTGCAGGAGCCGAGGCCTAGAGCTCCCGCCGGTCCTTCCACCCCTGGCCAGGATGCATACACTCGGCGTGCTGGCCAGCGTGGGGGAGGGCACCCCGAGCCCCAGAAGCGTGAGCCGTGGCTGGAAGCAGCAGGCTGGCTCCGGTGGGCAGCAGTCGAGCGATGCAAACGTAATGTCTCTCTCCCCTCCAGGTACTTTCAGGTTGAAGTATGCCCCCCCCGCAGAAAGTCTGGACTCCACAGATTGATGACTTTGTCTGGCAACAGAGCGTGACTGAGCGGTGGAGACGCGAGGAACATTCAAGCAGACTGCGAAGTCTCGTCGCTGTGGAGTTACTGTCTGATCCAAAGGTGCTTCACTCTCCTAGACTGGTAGAGACCTAGCGAGACGTGCATCCAGCTCGATGTATTGCCAAATCCTAGACGGGAGCTCGCCGTCGGGACTCGCCTAGCAGGCGTCCCCGTGCCGCAGTGCAGAGGCCGCACGTCTCCCGAAGAGCACTGCTGTCTGTGGCCCGCCGCGGCTCTCACGCAATTCCAGGGCAGCTATGCGCGCGCGGAAGCGAGGACTGAGGGTGGAGTTCCCCCAGCGGACTCTCGGCGCCCCCGGGGTAGGGAAATCGGCGGCTGTGTTTCGTGTCGTTTCGTTTCTTTCCTAAAGCGATGAGGCACTAATCTCTGGGATTTTGAAGGATTGCACTACGGAAGAATGTACGCTCGCCGGCTCGAGCCCCTCCGAGACCTGCGGGACCCCGTGCTGAGTCCACGGCAGATCCTAGTCTTTTCCCTCCGCCCAACACTTGTAGCAGTTCCAGGTTTCGATTTTTTTTCCTGAAAATAAATTTAGCTGTGTTACGAAGTAGAAGTAGTTGACGCACAACAGGCTGATTGCTGAGGGTCCAAGTCCTGGAGAGTGCAGACGTCGAGGCGCGCGGTCCTGCCGCCTCCACCCTGGGCAGCGCCTGTGGGACGCCGGCCGAGTCGCACTTGATGGACGTTCCAGGAGCCGCACGGCCCTGTAAGTCGTGAGCAAGAGGTCTGACGTCTCCTCCTGTCGACTTCTCGTGCTAGGCTGTGTGCTGACGGTTAGTTCCGTTACAGTGACCTGGAGAGCTTCAGTAGAGCGTGGTGAGAGAGACCCTCTCCCCAGAGCGCCAGGGCGTGCGGACTCCCGCGTGCGTGTTTGTCTTTTCAGGCAGGAAGTGGAAGTCCTCGCTGTAGCCTCCGCGTCTCCACCCACTGGAACGGAAGCATTTGGGTCTGGAGTTTAGGGACTTGAACCTTCCACGCAAAAGGGGTTTTTCCACTCCAGTAATGTCACTTACAATCAATATTGATGCTGATGGGGTCAGGCTGTGCCGGGGATTTTCCAGACCGTTCTTAGAATGGGACAATCAGCCAGTGCAGGACCAGCGCCGCCTCCGCCGGAGACTCCGCGGGGCCCTGGGCAGGCAGGGGAGGCTTCCAGGAGGCTTCCAGCCGAGGCCTGTGGCGTGGCGTCAGCTGACTTTGATTTCTATGCAATGCGGAGCGGGCGGCCCTCGCTCCTCTGTTCCTGGTACAGTGTTACGGGCCGGCGACGCGCGTTCCAGCAGCGGCCGAGGGGCTGTCGCGTGAATCTCTTCCTTCAGACACTACACCGTGTCACAGCAGTGGGAGCTGACACGACTTTGCCTTAAGGAGCACTCGGCTGGGGCTCACCTTCGCGGAGGACTTGGGCGCTCGCTCCGTTCCTGGAGGCCGTGGACAGTGGCCTGCGTATGTGCTGAAAGCCAAACTTTTAAAGTTTTTTTTTTTTTTTTTTTTAAAAAGCTGTTTTAAATGAATCCTCTCTCACCACAGTGGGTTTGTGGACAAGAGTCTCCTAGCCAAGGTGGAATCCCGGCTCCGTTTCTGTCCGGTGCTCAGCCTGGTGAGTGGAAGCGCCGGCTGTTGCCCCACGGCCGCTGTGTTTGCTGAACGCTGGAGGTGAGCCTTGCAGACAGCGCCAGATCCACGTGGAACGCGCGCCTCAGCATGCAGCCAGGGCCCCTGCGGCCCCGCCGGGCTGTGTCTGCTCACCGAGGGCTTGGGAGGACTTGCCCTTGTCTCCCGAAGCGCAGCTCACGAGGTCCCGGCATGAGAGCTCGGCCTGGGGGCGCCAGCCTCGGACTGGGCCTGTCTGCTGGCGGCGGCGTCTCTGAGTCCTGGGCAAAAGCAACCAAAGCCCGACGAGCGCTCTGGGCACCAGAGCCGGGGTGCGGCCGCAGGCGCAGGCGGCTGGCGCGGTTGGGGTCTGTCGTGTCTTAGCTTCTGGGCCCCGTTTTCTCCATCTCTGAGACTGGGGCGAGAGGACGTGCAGCGTTGGGGAAGAAAGAACTATTTAACCTTTCAGTCTCTTTTTTAAGCAAAAACTCGTTTTCTACCTTATTTTCTAATGTTTATTTCATGATAATATCAAAATTGGAAAGTATTTAACATTAAACTCCTGATTGCTAAGAGCAGAGATGGGAGCTAGCACTTAGAATAGACTCACCATTCACAACGCATCTCTGCGTGGTGTTCAGAAGGCCGCCCCCGTCCCCTGCAGACCCCAGGGTCAGCTTGTTCATACCGTAGTCATAGGTTCTGTATTCTCATTCGTATTTAGGACTCTAGGTCCGTCCTGCGAGCAGTCAGCGTAGTTGGTGCACTGCACCCGCCGTGCCGTGGCGCAGCGCGGAGGCAGGGACTCGCCAGCTGCCCCGGCCTCCACTCTCCGCACGGGACCTGGGCTCTTGGCCTCCGAGCTCCCCGCTCTTCCTGGGGTTCTGTTGGAGGTGTTCACAGGCTGCTGGGGAAACCCCGTGCGTGGCTCAGCCCCCGTCCCCGAGGATGGGCCGGGGGCCTGGGCAGGGCTGGCTGTCCTTCCAAAGCCAGGGGTTCTGGAGAGGCGGAACCGTTCCAGGTCCCAGGGGTCTGAATAGAAGTGAGCGTCGCTAACCCAAACTCGCAATATTCTAGAAAACCATATACTGTGCTGGTGGAGGCCAAAGCTTCAGGTCCCTGCTCTGTTGCCCGAGGGCGGAGCGGCCCCCGCCCAGCGCCACCTCACCCTCCCCTCGTCACGCGTGTCTGCTTCCGGGCGCACACAGAAGGCTTCCCAGCCTCTGCTGGACAGATTTTCTTTTTAGGAATGAAGGAAAATTCTCATTTTGAGCCATTCTTTTGTCAATTCTACAAAATTGCATGTAACTTTATAAATATTTTTAAAAGATATAGTTTTGTAAATATTTAATATTCCGCTAATTTGATTTTGAATTGTAAATGTCAAGTATTCTGTTTTTGGGGTTTTTATGTTTTATTATACTTTGTTAAAAAGAAAAAAAATTGTACATTTTTAGAATGTTTTTATGAGTAAATTTAATGTACTGAAAATAAAAAATTTTAAAAAAGGACCCGTGCCTGCCTTCCTCAGCTCTGTTCTCGGGACACGAAGCACGCGTGTTTTCACGTAGCTCAGAATTCTCCGTCCGCTTTCCGCCTTCCTCCCGTGTTGACACGGGGACGCCACGTCTCATCCTCCCGGAGCTTCCCAGGCTTCTAGGTGCTGTCAGAGTGGAGCTCACACGCGTGGGGCTGAGGCACCGTGGGGAGGTGGTGCGACCCTGCTGTGAGAGGGCGCCGTGGTGACATGCGCCGGCCCGGGCCCAGCCAGCGACAGTGGAACGAGCGCACCCGCCCGCGTCGCGTGCTCCCACATCAGGAGGTGGGCACCCGGGAGCGGCCCCTCTGACCTTCCAGGTGGGAACTTGGAAAACAGGAGAAAGGGAACACGGACACGCGTGTGAGCAGCTCATTGCTATTTGAAAGGCAGAGACAGGTGGCCATCTTGCACGGCCTGGTTCCCTCCCCCACATCCAGCACCAGGCTGGGCCAGGCTGAAGCAGGGGGAGGAACCCAAGTAACAGAGCCGTCACCTGCTGCGCCGCACCCCAGGGTGCATGCCGGCAGGATGCCGGCTTAGAAGCAGAGAGTGGTTCTGGATCCTGGCACCCCGACTGCAGGCCGTGGGGTGAGCCACGGCTGCCGCCCCTCCCTCGTGTTTTCCAGGAAACACTTAAGTGCCTGCTGGAGTCTGAGCTGGACCCTGCGCACACCGGCCACCCGGCCAGCTCCACTCCCAGGAAACACCCGCGCCTCACAGCTGCCCTCGGTCTCCAAGCGCTCAAGGGAGTTGAACTTACAAAGGAAGACCTAGGAGTAGGGTACTGGCCTAGGTGAGAAAGGCGCCCACAACAAAGAGGGGTGTCCCTCCCCAGGTGTCCCCCCACCCCCACCCCCGCACAGCAAACCAGCCTGGAAGTTCCTTGTTGGGAAGCCAGAGCCACCTGCTGTGGTCAAGTACCCAGACACGCGCAGTCAGGATGTCAAAGACGGGTCTGCACATCGAGTCCGTTCTGAGCGGTGCCTTTATTCACCTCGCGGGGTGAGAATGCCCGCCACTGTGGGTGCAGGCCACCCCGCAGCAAGGCTGTTTCTTTCAGAAGCAGCTTCTTGCAGGAGTCTGTGCTCACAGTGGTACAAGAATGGTACAATGGCACACACACTCCGAAGGACACACGGCTAAGAGTTTACGTCATGTGAAAACGTACATGTGGGAAGCCGGCCATGTGGACAGGCATGCAGCGGGAGAGGAGGTGACGGGAGCCCCTCCGAGGATCCGTCCCGGGCCAGACGCGGTGACGCTGCCGCTCCGACGACATGCGCCGGCACACGAGGCAAAGGCAGACGGTGGACCCCACGCAGGTGGCAGGAAGCACTGGCTTGGAAGATGCTGAACTTGACAGAAACACTGCAGCCGCACGTTCCCTTCCGCTGGTCTTTCCTTGACGCGGACACGCACAGAGAATCCTGATGGTGGTCTGGCGCCACTGAACTACTCTTCTCGTTACACATTTAACAACAGCAAAACACAAACCATAGATCACGTACAGCTTTAAGCCAAAAAGTAGGGAGGGGGCACATCTGAATTTGAATGTTTTTCGTTTCACGAATCTGTGGTCTCTAGCACTGTCCCAAAAAAATGACCAAAGCAAGCCTGAGTTTGGATTCTTTGAAAAATTCAGAGCAGAAGCAACGTCACTTTTTCTCGGGGCCTTCTGAGAAACCAGACTAAAACAAAGCCCTTCCGGGGCCCGCCGAGCAGCGTCTGCAGCTCCAGACGGCAGCAAGAGCCGCGCCCCCGCGGAAGCCGGGGCTGCGGTGCGCGCCTGTCGGGGACCAGAGCCGCCGTCGCGCACGTCTTGACCCCGCTTGGCGCCCGCTGTCACGGCCAGTGTGGCTCTGGGGTTGTGCTTACAGCCACGCCCGTGGGGTCCCCGGGGAGACAGCTCTGCCGGGCAGAGCCCCTTCCAACAGCGAGGACAGCAGGGTCGCGGCCTGGGCGAGGACTGCCCGCCCGACTGCGCTGGGACGCGGGACGGAAGAGCACTGAAAGACGTGGCGGCCTATTTTACTGGCGACTCAGAATGCAAAGTATTTTATTTTTAAACTCCTGAAATTTGAAAACAAAACAGCCTAGGTTAAACCATAGTTTTCCAATGCTGAATGCACTCCCTGGGAGCTGTTTTTCTGCTTGAAAGACAAAGACGACTTCCTACACCTGCCCAGGCGGAACACTAGCTGAATGGACTGATTGGGTGGACGTCGGTCGCGCCTGCGGCATCCCCTCCCTCGGGAGGACTAGACGCCGTGCGGCGGCCTCGCCCCGAACGTCTCCTGGGAGGCGTACACCATGTACAGGAAGCCGTCGCCGTCCTTCTCGCTCTCGTACACCTCGGAGATGGGCGTGGAGACGCTCACCATGCTGTGCCCGTTCACCAGCAGGAAGAAGGCCTGGTTGGCGTTGAGCTGCAGGCGCCTCCTGCGGAGTGACATCACAGTGAGGGGGCAGAGCAGGAGGGGGGGCTGGCAGCCTCACGGCATCGGGGCTTCTCCAGGATCATGTTCATGATCGACACTAGTTAAAACGGGGTCGGCTCGAGTCCCGGCTGCCCCACTTCCGGTCCAGCTCTCTGCTGTGGCCTGGGAAGGCAGGAGAAGACGGCCCAAGTGCTTGGGCCCCTGCACCCACATGGGAGACCCAGAGGAAGCTCCAGGCTCCTGGCTTTGGATTGGCCCAGCCCCGGCCACTGCGGCCATCTGGGGAGTGAAGCAGAAGATGGGAGACTGACTCCTTCCCTCCCTCCCTCTGTAACTCTGCCTTCCAAATAAATTAAAAAAAAAAAAAAAAAAAGATTAGTTAGAATCATTCCTGAGGCTGGTTTAAGCTGGTCTGTACGGCTGTTTGTTAGGGTCTCATGTGAGGAAAACAGCTCCAAACGGTGCAAACCGTCCTGAGACCTGAGCTGCCGCAGCCGCGCCCGCGCCCGCACCCGCTCACTGGCCGCGCTGCTCTAAAGGAAACGCCTACCCCAGCTGCCGAGACCAAACAGTCGGCAGGGGCCTGGGACCCCGCGGCGGGAAGGAACACAGCAAGCCTTGGTCAGCCGCGAGAGACGGGCGCGCCCGAGGAGGCGGACAGCAAGCCTTGGTCAGCCGCGAGAGACGGGCGCGCCCGAGGAGGCGGACAGCAAGCCTTGGTCAGCCGCGAGAGACGGGCGCGCCCGAGGAGGCGGACAGCAAGCCTTGGTCAGCCGCGAGAGACGGGCGCGCCCGAGAGGGGGCGGACACAGGTGTGTACCTGATGATTTTGATGAGCTCGCTCATGTTCACGTGGTCGGGTACAAGGAACTTGGTTTTATCCAGGACAGGAAGCTGCTTCTCACCCTTGTATCGTTCTATTATCACCTACGGAAGAAGCCAGAGGAGTAAAGCGCTCCGCAGCGGAGAGGCGGCGGCCCCGACCGTCCCGGCTCGCGGGAAGCTGCATCCTCACGGCTCTGCCGTGCATCCGCGCCCACCAGCTGTCGGCTCTCACAGAACCGCGCGCGAGCACAGCGCTGCACCAGAGATGTGCCCTGGGGGGAGCTACTTGGCCGTGTGTCTCTGTGCTGCTGGAATCTGAAACCCAGAAAAACATGCTCCCCCATGAGAAGACCACGGCTTAGAGAAGCAGACGGGGACCCGCTCAGAACGCGCAGTCCTCCCGCCCCGCCTGTCCGTGAGCTCAGGGACCCGCTCAGAACACACAGTCCTCCCGCCCCGCCTGTCCGTGAGCCCGGGGACCAGCTCAGAACACACAGTCCTCCCGCCCCGCCTGTCATTGAGCCCGGGGACCAGCTCAGAACACACAGTCCTCCACCACCGTCTGTCCGTGAGCCCGGGGACCAGCTCAGAACGCAGTCCTCCCCGTCTGTCCGTGAGCCCGGGGACCAGCTCAGAACGCAGTCCTCCCGCCCCGCCTGTCCGTGAGCCCGGGGACCAGCTCAGAATACACAGTCCTCCCGCCCCGTCTGTCCGTGAGCTCGGGGACCAGCTCAGAACACACAGTCCTCCACCACCGTCTGTCCGTGAGCCCGGGGACCAGCTCAGAACGCAGTCCTCCCCGTCTGTCCGTGAGCCCGGGGACCAGCTCAGAACGCAGTCCTCCGGCCCCGTCTGTCCGTGAGCCCGGGGACCAGCTCAGAACGCAGTCCTCCGGCCCCGTCTGTCCGTGAGCCTGGGGACCAGCTCAGGACGCAGTCCTCCCCGTCTGTCCATGAGCCCGGGGACCAGCTCAGGACGCAGTCCTCCCCGTCTGTCCGTGAGCTCGGGGACCAGCTCAGGACGCAGTCCTCCCGCCCCGTCTGTCCGTGAGCCCGGGGACCAGCTCAGAACGCAGTCCTCCACGTCTGTCCGTGAGCCCGGGGACCAGCTCAGGACGCAGTCCTCCCCGTCTGTCCATGAGCCCGGGGACCAGCTCAGGACGCAGTCCTCCCGCCCCGTCTGTCCGTGAGCCTGGGGACCCGCTCAGGACGCAGTCCTCCCGCCCCGTCTGTCCGTGAGCCCGGGGACCCGCTCAGGACGCAGTCCTCCCCGTCTGTCCGTGAGCCCGGGGACCAGCTCAGAACGCAGTCCTCCCCGTCTGTCCGTGAGCTCGGGGACCAGCTCAGAACGCAGTCCTCCCCGTCTGTCCGTGAGCCCGGGGACCAGCTCAGAATGCAGTCCTCCCGCCCCGCCTGTCCGTGAGCCCGGGGACCAGCTCAGAACACACAGTCCTCCCGCCCCGTCTGTCCGTGAGCTCGGGGACCAGCTCAGAACACACAGTCCTCCACCACCGTCTGTCCGTGAGCTCGGGGACCAGCTCAGGACGCAGTCCTCCCCGTCTGTCCATGAGCCCGGGGACCAGCTCAGGACGCAGTCCTCCCGCCCCGTCTGTCCGTGAGCCCGGGGACCCGCTCAGGACGCAGTCCTCCCGCCCCGTCTGTCCGTGAGCCCGGGGACCAGCTCAGAACGCAGTCCTCCCGCCCCGTCTGTCCGTGAGCCCGGGGACCCGCTCAGGACGCAGTCCTCCCGCCCCGTCTGTCCGTGAGCCCGGGGACCAGCTCAGGACGCAGTCCTCCCGCCCCGTCTGTCCGTGAGCCCGGGGACCGGCTCAGGACGCAGTCCTCCGCCCCGTCTGTCCGTGCGCTCAGAGCAGAGCCCCTTTACCAGAGCTGCTCTTCAGCTCAGCTGGAGCCAGGAGAAGTGAGACACTCAGTGGGCGGCACTGCGGCGAATGGGCTGAAGCCAGCGCCCGCATCCCACGTGGCGCCGGCTCCAGTCCCGGCTGCTGCTCTTCCGATCCAGCTCCCTGCTAATCCTGGGCAACCAGTGGGGAATGGTCCAAGTGCTTGGGCCCCTGCACCCACATGGAAGACCCAGAGGAAGCCCCGGCTCCAGCCTGGCCCAGCCCCGGCTGTCGAGGCCCCGTGGGGAGTGAACCAGCGGATGGAGACTGACTCACACCGTCACTCGGCCTTTCAAATCACCGAATCTTTAAAAAAGGAAAAGCGTACTGCCCAAAGGCTGTCGGAGGAAACCCTAGTGGGTGTAACGTGAGTGAGGCAAACTCGAACAAGTGCCTGCAAAATCTCATCGAAAAAAAACACTGGGAGAGGGTGATGAGTGTGGGGAAGGCTCCGTGGAGTCCGCCGTGGCATGGCCCGCGGCACCCAGCCGGCCTCGTGCTCCTCCGCTCTGTGCCGCCCTGGACTGTGGGACAGCTCTGCCGCCACAGGGGGTCACCGGCACCCGGTCGCTAACTCAGCCGTGCAGAGGCGGTGCCGACTGTCGGCTCCAGCACCACCGTCTCCCGAGACGCGGCGAGTGTGTGCGTCCATGAAATCGTGAGGCTCGGTGAGCTCGGCTCCGGCACCAGGGACCGTTTCTCTTCCCGACAGAAAGCGCTGGGTGGACACGCGAGAGCAAGCAGACGTCCGGAGGACGACTTCCAGGGCCTTGGCTTTAGACAGACATCCCCAGTGTTCCTCTAACGGGTGTTATCAGCGAGTCCCTTGATTCCACACGGAACAAGAACATTCCCACATCACGAATTAAATCCACTAACTCCTTGCCATACTACGGAGAAACCTGTCTCCGTGCTCGGCCCCGTGGGATCTGAGCAGAGGGCGCGGCCGCGCGTGTGCGCCGTCTGCAGGGCCCCTGTGCTGTCGAGGCGGCTGCTGCTGCAGGGAGACCGAGGGCAGGACAGGCTGCGCTCGGCGTCCCTGGGGACACACTGGGCGTGCTCAGAGCTGCCATCCACGAGGCCTGGCGAACATCAGAGGTCACAACTCCTGGGTCCTTGGCCCAGGAGGGCGCCGAGGAGGTCAGAGACCCAGACAGAAAAACCCAAGACCTCAGAACCCTTCGGTGAAGGGCACACATGACCCTGGGCGGCAACTTTCTGCTCACGTCCGCCGCTCTGGTCCCCGGGGGCACGCTTCCCAGCGGGCCCGGCGACTGCTTCTTGTCCAGTCCTCCCCCCCCCCCCCCAGCGCCTGGCTGACGCCTCCCTTCTGAGTTTCCATCTGCTTTCCTTTACGTGGGACAGGATGCGCGGCTCCACCTGGAACGTGTCCTGCGGGACGTTCCACTCGGGCGGCAGGAGAGGAGGGAAGCGCGCCCGGAAGCCTCTGCGTGAGGGCCCTGGCGGCTGCTCATGGAGGAAGCGCCGGGGACCCCAGGTGCTGAGAACCCGAGAGCACTGCGGAAAGGTGGCTGGCGCCGCGGCGGGAGTCTGGGGGACAGGTCCCGGCGGGCTGCCGGTGGCCAGCAGAGGTCCAGGAGGCACTCAGAGCCGGGCACCGCTCCACAACGGCCCTGCCTCGGAGAGGCCCGCGGCGGCTCACCTGGTGGCCAGGCCCCCCCAGAGTGAGGATTCAGTGTGGCAGACAAGCCGGCGTGTCTTCCGCGGGGGTGCCCACCTCTCTCCCGTGTGCACCCGGGAGCCCTCACTTCCACCCTGGGCAAGAACTGCGGGTCAAGCCAAACACGGACGCTGCAGAGCGGGGGCAGGTGTTCCGGGCGGCCTGCGGGGCTGCAGGTGTTCCGGGCGGCCTGCGGGGCTGGTGAGAGGCGGGCTCAGTCTGTACGAGGCGGCTGCCACCTGCTCAGAATTCTGCGAATCCCGGCTGCAGCACACGAGGGGGGTGCCCCTCCCCTTTCAGAGGGCCCAACTCCTTTCCGAGTGTTAGCAGCCGGCGCACCATCACTTGGCAAACCTCGACCCAGGTCTGGAGCTGAGGCTGTCTAGGAACCAGGGCGGGATGGTCTGTAACCACTCCTACCCCTCATGCCTCAGCAAGCCCGTTTCAGATCAGGCACCACGCACGCGGCACAGCAGAGGCCGACGCCTGGGCCCGGCACTCCCGTCCTCACTCACGCCAGGACCGCTCCGCGGCACCGCAGCCGGGCAGGGCAGCCCTGCTCGTTACCGACTTGGCCTGTGTGGCTGCTTCTCTCCGCAGTAAAACACCAACAGCCCCGTGCCCCGTCCCTTTAAGTGGTGCATGCGGCTTGTTCAGCCAGCAGACGAGTGCGGGAGCCACCTACCGGGATCTTGGTGGGGTGCTGCTCCCGGATGAGCCGGACGTCCTCCACTCGCTGCTCTGCAGGGAAGGACACGTGAGCGTGAGGGCAGGAGGCGCGCGCTCCCAGACTGCACGGTGACCGCGGCATCCTTCTCTAGGATTTCTTTTTAAAGATTTCTTTATTGGAAAGGTAGAGTTAGAGAAAGAACATCTTTTCCCAGAAAAATGTTTTAGAAGATTATTTATTTGAATGGCAAAGTTAGAAATAGGGAGGGAGAGGGAGAGAGAGGGAGGGAGGGGGGGGAGGGAGAGGAAGGGAGAAGGGGGGAGAGAGAGAGGGAGGGGGAGAGCGGGGGGGGGGGAGAGGGGGAGGGGGAGGATGGGGAGAGGGAGAGAGGGAGAGAGGGGTGAGGGGGAGGAGGGGGAGAGGGAGAGAGGGAGAGAGGGGTGAGGGGGAGAGGGAGAGAGGGAGAGAGAGAGGTCCCCCACCCACTGATCCGCTCCTGAAATGGCTGCAAATGCTGGCACTGCGCCAGTCCGCAGCCAGGAGCCACTTCCGATTCAGCTTCCTGCTAAAGCACCTCGGAAGGCGGCGAGATCCGGCCCAGTACTCGGGCACCTGCCCCCACCCACAGGCCAGGAGGGAGCCTGTGGCTCCTGGCTTTGGCCTGGCCCAGCCCTGGCTGTTGCGCCCGTCTGGGGAGTGAGGCAGCAGGGGGCCGATCTCCTTCTCCTCTCTCCCACTCTTCCTGTCCTTCTGCCTTTCAAATAAATAAATCTTACGGGGAAAAACGCTGTAGCATCTAGACGTAGCTTCTGACCTGTCTGCCTTTTTTAATGTCTAGAGGAAACTGCAACCCTGTTTATTTACTCTAACTAACTCTAGCGTACCTGGACATTTGGGCAGAGGGGAAAGAGACTTTTCACTCAAGGAAATAGGTTTATTTTGGTAAGTGGAGAAGGGAAAAATCAAAAGGCTCTAATGTAAGGTTTCGAAGTAAAGAACAATAGCGTTAAAGATATCTTTAGCCCTACCTATTCATCCTCAAAATACACCCAAAAGAAAAAGACAAAACAGTTATCAAAGGTGGAGAAGCCGGGCCGACGCTGCGGCGTAGTGGGCTGAGCCTCTGCCTGCAGGGCCGGCTTCCCACATGGGTGCCGGTTCCGAGTGCCGGCTGCTCCACTTCCGATCCAGCTCCCTGCTGTGGCCTGGGAAAGCAGTAGAGGATGACCCTAGTCCTTGGGCCCCTGCAGCCATTTGGGAAGTGAACCAGTGGACAGATGACCTTTCTGTTTCTCCATCTCTGTAAATCTTTCTCAAATAAATAATAAAAATTTCAAAAAGAAAAAGGCAGAGAAACTGCCGTGCAGAGCAGACAAGTGTGTCCCTTGAGGCGGAGAGAGAGTGGCACAGCACGGGTCCCGAGGACGGCTGGCACCTGCTCAGCCAGAGGGCCCAGTGCTCGGCCTGCACAGGAGCAGCCCAGGGCACCGCGGGAGAGAATTCAAGGTGCTGTGCTGGGCGGGCAGGCACCCCTGGCGATGCCGGCACTGCTTGCCGGAGTGCCCGTTCCAGTCCCAGCCTCTCTGCTCCCGGAGCCAGCTTCCTGCTCACGAGTCCGGGAAGCAGTGGACGACGGCCGAGAGCTCGCGGTCCTGCCACCCACGTGGGAGACCGGGCCGGCAGCCTGGCTGCTGTGGCCATCTGGGGAACGAACCAGTGGATGGAAGATCCCTCACTCCACCTTTCAGATACATCCATGCACACACACGTGTACACATTTTTTAGTTCCATGAACTTTCGGAAGCCTTACTATGGCATGCTAATGTGTCACTTTCTAAAACAAGTAACTGGTGTGTGTGCTTTCCCAGCAAGCAGCTCACTCTGGGGCTAAGCAGACACGGCACACACGGATGCGAGCTCAGGGGAGCACCTGCCCCCTCCCCGCTGCTCGTCCACCTCCAGACTGCCCTGCCGCTCAGGGCCCAGGCTCACCCACGGCCAATGAAGCTGCTGGACAAAGGTCCCTGCCCTCGGCCTCCAAGAACCTTGAGACGCCTCAGACAGAGAACTGGAGGGCAGGAAGGGCTTGCCGTCCAGCGGGTGAGATGCAGCGGAGACCCCGCTGTGCCGCGTCTGGGGGTCCTGAGCTCCCGGCTCTGGGCCTGGGAAGGCCCTGATGTGGGGAATGAACGAGCACACGAACCTCGCTTTTGCTCTCAAAAAAACAATTTAAAAAGCTGGTCTACGGCGTGTTACTTAGCGGCGTATCACTCGCAGTCGCTTCGTGATAGCCTAGGACAGCTAAAGGGAAGCTGATTAAACACTGTCCAGGATCACTCCACTTGGGCCAGTGCTGAGCCGCCGCCACCTGTGAGCGGTCACTGTGATCTCCATGCCATCGACGCCTGGCACCGTCCAAGTTCCCGGTGCCAGGTGTCGCCCCAAGTCTCACTCTCCAGCCTGTGTCACAGCACTTGGCGCTGTTTGAGTGAACTTGCAGGAGCCGGCACTGCAGTGTAGTGGGCTGAGCCTCCGCCTGCAGGGCCGGCATCCCATACGGGCACTGGTTCCTGTCCCGGCTGTTCCTCTCCCGATCCAGCTCTCTGCTGTGGCCTGGGAAAGCAGTCTTCGGGCCCCTGCACCCACATGGGAGATCTGGAAGAAGCTCCTGGCTTGGATTGGCTCAGCTCCAGCTGTTGCGGCCAACTGGGGAGTGAACCAGCGGGTGGAGGACCTCTCTCTCTGTCCCCCCTTCTCTGTAACTCTACCTCTCAAATGATTAAGTCTTTAAAAAAAAAAAAAAAAAAAAAAGAGTAAACTTCCCAGAACACACACAGGAGGCCTGGGACAGCCTGTTCACCATCCTCAGTTACGTTTCAGTGTAACGCGGGCACTGGAGCAGGGAGTGGACCAGACTGCAGCACCGGGGAGCTTCAGGCTCGGGGGCAGCCTCTGCCGCTAGGCGGACGGGGGTCTCACCCCTGCGCCCCCCGGCTTCCCCCAGCAACAGGAGGAGCTGTTTGGAGTCAGCCCTAAAATCCATCCCACTCTCCGAATCCGGCAATCCCGAGCCACACTCAGCTTGACCTGACGCCCAACTCAGGGCCTGGGGAGAGGGAGCGCAGGCCCCTGGGCTGCTCCTCCACGTGGGCTCCGACTCTCTCCAAGTCACCCAAGGCGAGGGCACGGACAGCCACGCCGCTGCACACTGACACGGCTCTGCAAGGGGGCTCTTTTTTTTTTAGTTGGCAGGTAGAGTTATAGACAGAGAAAGGTCTTCCTTCCGTTGGTTCACCCCTCAAATGGCCGCTATGGCTGGTGCTGTGCTGATCCGAAGCCAGGAGCCAGGTACTTATCTGGTCTCCCATGGGGTGCAGGGCCCAAGCACTTGGGCCATCCTCCACTGCACTCCCGGGCCACAGCAGAGAGCTGGCCTGGAAGAGGGGCAACTGGGACAGAACCAGCGCCCACATGGAATGTCGGCGCCGCAGGCGCAAGATTAACCAGGTGAGCCACGCGCCGGCCCCTGCAAGGGGACTCTTACAGAGACCCTGGGGCAGCGAGCAGTGAGTTAGGGGAAACCTGGAAATGCTGCGTAAGACACTGGAGGGGGAGATAGGGCAGACGAGCTGGCCCACGGCCAGGGCCGGCCAGGGCCACTCAGGGTCCAGGGCAGTTCCCGTTCCAACGTGCTGACCTCACTTTTCCTACCGTGACACAGTCTTCGCAGGCATTTTTCCAGAAGGCTCTAAAAACACTATAAGCAACCAGAAGACAAGGCAGTGTCCCAGAGGACCAGAGGCGTGCCTCCCCCACAACGACCCCAGTTAACTCCCAAATGCCAGACAGAACGCAGGCTTCCAGCAGAGCCAGGCCGCTCGGAGTTCGCTAAGTCACTGATGAGGAAATCTCTAACCAAAAAAGGCCCCCCAGGTCTGGCTAGCCCGCCCAGGAGGCTCCTGGCAAAGATGTCTGGCATCCCCGGCTGGTTCTTCCACACGACACCATCAAGTACCTGTCAATAACGAAATCTGCAAAACCCACACCCAAAGGAAGGCACGCGGGGGCCCCCCACGCACCTGTAACCTGCGGGGCCGGAGCGCTCCCCAGCCCGCCGGCGGCCACCGCACAGCTGCCCGCCTCGCCCTCGTGCGGGGCAGATCCCGCGACGGAAGCAACCCAGCGCCGGCCCGCTGGCTTAGGGTGGGCTGCGACTCGGGAGACGGCGCCCGCAGCCGCCCGGGTCCACGCAGGCTCAGGCCCGCCGCCCCGCAGCGCGCGCGGGAGTCGGCTGCCCGCGGCCCGCCCGCGTCTGCCGGTACCCCGAGCCCTCACGGTGCGGCCCTCGTCGGCCCCGGCCTTCCTCCCACCCCCGGCCCCCGCGGCCCCCAGCCCTCCACGGCCGTCCCCAGCGAGGTCCCAGCCCTCCGCGGCCCCGGCCTTCCTCCCACCCCCGGACCCGCGGCCCCGCCGTACCCAGCCCGGCCCCGGCCCCGCGGCCCCCGCCGCACCCAGCCTGGTCCCGGCCCCGCGACCCCCGCCGTACCCAGCCCGGCCCCGGCCCCGCGTCCCCCGCCGTACCCAGCCTGGTCCCGGCCCCGCGACCCCGCCGTACCCAGCCCAGCCCGGCCCCGCGTCCCCCGCCGTACCCAGCCTGGTCCCGGCCCCACGACCCCGCCGTACCCAGCCTGGTCCCGGCCCCGCGACCCCGGCCCTACCCAGCCCGCTCTCGGCCCCGCGACCCCGGCCCTACCCAGCCCGGCCCCGGCCCCGCGGCCCCGGCCCCCGCCGCACCCAGCCCGGCCCCGCGGCCCAGCCCCGTCCGCGCGCCGCCGGACACCCACCGAAGGTGCGGCGCTGCTTGAAGGTCTTCTCCGACGGCATGGCGGGGCGGCGGGGCGGCGGCGGGGCAGGCGGAGGGTCCCGGCGGCTCCGGCTCCGGCGACAGCGACTTCCCTTGTGTCTGAGCCCGCAGCCGGGTCAGGTGACCGCAGCGCGTCAGCGGGGGGCGGAGCCCGAGCCGGCCGAGGCCTCCGCCATGGCGGGCGTGGCGGAACCGGGCCGCGCCTGCGCGTGCGCGTGCGCGGAGGGCGGCGCGGTGCGCGGTCGCAGCCCTCGGGACGGGCGGCGGCGGGGCGTGCGGTTCCGCCCGGTCTCTGCGGACCGGGAGGTGCCGCCCGCGGCCTCCGGGAGGGACCGGACGGCCCGGGCCCCGGGGACCCGACCGCTGCTTCGGGGCCACAGCGCGCCCCTGCCTCCCGGGCCTCGTGGCGCGGGGCCGCGTCCGCGTCCGCGTCAGGGCCGCACCGCGCGCGGCCGGTCAGCCGCGTGCCCCGCTGGCCCCGCGCACGCGTTCCCGCCGGGTGTCCCCTCTGAGGAGGCCGCGGCGCGCGTTTGGAACCTTCTGGAAGCGCTCCCTGGCCCCAGGCTTCCATCTGACCTTTCTTAGGTGACAGGGTGACTGGCGTAGGCTCACGGGCGAAGCTGAGCGGCAGAAGGGGGAATGGCGGCCGCAGGCGGCTCGCCCCCGGCCCCGACCCCCGACTCCCGGCCCCCACCAGGCCCGCTCCCTGGACCTGGGAGCCGCACACAGCCTGGCCTCACCCCGGGAAGAGGCGTCGGGGCCCCCGGAGCCGTCGGGAAGAGGCGTGGGGGGGGGGCGCCTGAGCTGATCCCTGGAAGAGGTGGGGGGGGGCCAGAGCCGTCGGGGAAGAGGTGGGGGGGCCGCCTGAGCTGATCCCGGGAAGAGGTGGGGGGGGGGCCAGAGCCGTCGGGGAAGAGGTGGGGGGGCCGCCTGACCTGATCCCGGGAAGAGGTGGGGGGGGGGACCGCCCGGAGCCGTCGGGAAGAGGTGGGGGGGGAAGAGGCGTCGGGGCCCCCGGAGCCATCGGGAAGAGGTGTGTGTGGGGGCCGCCTGAAATGATCCCGGGAAGGGGGGGGGCGCCAGGCGCCATCAGGAAAGAGGCGTCGGGGCCCCCGGAGCCGTCGGGAGGAGGGGTGTGGGGGGGAAGAGGTGTGGGGGGAGACCACCCAGAGCCGTCGGGAAGAGGTGTTGAGGGGGGGACCCCCCCGGAGCCGGGAAGAGGTGTGTGTGTGGGCCGCCTGAAATGATCCCGGGAAGGGGGGGGGCGCCAGGCGCCATCAGGAAAGAGGCGTCGGGGCCCCCGGAGCCGTCGGGAAGAGGTGGGGGGGGCGCCCAGAGCCGTGGGGAAGAGGCGGGGGGGGGAGAGGAATGGGGGGAGACCACCCAGAGCCATCGGGAAGGGGGGGGAGGTGTTGAGGGGGGAAGAGGTGGGGGGGCCCCCGGAGCCGTCGGGAAGAGGTGGGGGGGGACCGCCCGGAGCCGTCGGGAAGAGGTGGGGGGGGACCGCCCGGAGCCCTCGGGAAGAGGTGGGGGGGGCGCCCGGAGCCGTGGGGAAGAGGGGGGGGGAGAGGAATGGGGGGAGACCACCCAGAGCCATCGGGAAGGGGGGGGAGGTGTTGAGGGGGGAAGAGGTGGGGGGGGAGACCACCCGGAGCCCTCGGGAAGAGGTGGGGGGGCGCCCGGAGCCGTCGGGAAGAGGTGGGGGGGGACCGCCCGGAGCCGTGGGGAAGAGGCGGGGGGGGGGGAGGAATGGGGGGAGACCACCCAGAGCCATCGGGAAGGGGGGGGAGGTGTTGAGGGGGGAAGAGGTGGGGGGCTGCCTGAAATGATCCGGGGGGGGGGCGCCGCCGGTGTCGGCCCGCCGCTCTGCTGTTCGCTGCGCTCCCCCAGGAGGGAGGCTGAACCCGGCGGCTCCTCCACGCCTGGCCCGGTGCTGCGGAGGGTGAAGGCCACGAGGCCGGGCAGCCTTGCGCTGCGTCCTTGGGCGCTGCCGGCCGGCGGAGCCTGGGTAGCTGGCGCTGGGCTCTGCTTGCTTGTCACACGGCAGCCTCCCTCGCACGAGCCTCTTTGCTTTTTCCTTCTCTTTCTGTCATAGTTTTTTTTTTTTTCCCCCCGAAGATTTATTTATTTATTGGAAAGGCAGAGTTACACAGAGAGAGGAGAGGCAGAGAGAGAGGTCTCCCATCCGCTGGTTCACTCCCCAGTTGGCCACAATGGCCAGAGCTGCGCCGAACCGAAGCCAGGAGCCAGGAGTTTCCTCCAGGTCTCCCACGTGGGTCCGGGGTCCCAAGCACTGTGGCCATCCTCCACTGCTCTCCCAGGCCGCAGCAGAGAGCTGGATCGGAAGAGGAGCAGCCGGGACTCGAACCTGTGGCCATATGGGATGGCGGCACTGCAGGCCAGGGCTTTACCCGCCGCGCCGCAGCTCCGGCCTCCGTCACAGGTTTACCTTGACACATCTCTGATCCATGCGGTGGGCAGAGTCCTTGAACAGCGTGTGTGGTCCAGGCAGTCCCACAGGAATCCCTGGGGGCTCTGGGTTCCAGCTCGCAGCCTGCAGTGTTTGACGTTTGCCATTTCGGTGTTGTGCATTCTTTGGAAATTGGGAGAAACATTTTCAGTAAGCCCTCATGTCCCCACGCTTTGCCAAACACAGCACCCGCTTTGAGATCCCCGGAGCGCGGCTTGCACTCCGCCTTCCTCAGGGACCTGGGATCCTCAGTGCCCTTCCCGGCGGGTCCACCCCTTCCGTGGGGGACTGTGCGAATGCGAGGAGAGGGCGGGACTCCGTGCCCGGCACGCGGAGGTGGACGGGGCGCGCAGACGCCCACGCTTGCTCCGCTCGGGCGTGCAGAGGCTCTGCCGCGGTGCCCCACGCCGGCGCCTCCCTGCCGCTCTGTGTTCGCTGCCGCAGTTGTGCCCCTAATTTCTCCTGCCAACTCGAACCCAAAACCACACATCCCTGACCCCAAGCTGTGGCTGCCACGGAGGCTCGGAGCATTGTCTCCACGCGAGTAACGCAGATTGTTAACCCGCGTCCACAGGACGGGCAGACGTTGCCCGAGACCCAGATCAGTTTACCGAAGTGAGTGCCGTGCAGGGCGGCGAGTGAGTGTTGCTCATGAATCATGTGGAGACGACTCACATAGGCGTTGTGTAGCAGAAACAATGGAAATAATAGTGTTTCCTGAAATAATTCTTTAAAAGTTTCATTTTAGGCCAGCGCGGCTCGCTAGGCTAATCCTCTGCCTGCGGCGCCGGCACACCGGGTTCTAGTCCCGGTCGGGGCGCTGGATTCTGTCCCGGTTGCCCCTCTTCCAGGCCAGCTCTCTGCTATGGCCAGGGAGTGCAGTGGAGGATGGCCCAGGTCCTTGGGCCCTGCACCCCATGGGAGACCAGGAGAAGTACCTGGCTCCTGGCTTCGGATCAGCGCAGCGCCGGCCATAGCAGCCATTTGGGGAGTGAACCAACGGAGGGAAGACCTCTCTCTCACTGTCTAACTCTGCCTGTTTAAAATAAAATAAAAAGTTTATTTATTTTTTTGACAGGCAGAGTGGACAGTGAGAGAGAGAAAGGTCTTCCTTTGCCGTTGGTTCACCCTCCAATGGCCGCTGCGGCCGGCGCACTGCGCTGATCCGATGGCAGGAGCCAGGTGCTTCTCCTGGTCTCCCATGGGGTGCAGGGCCCAAGCACCTGGGCCATCCTCCACTGCACTCCCGGGCCACAGCAGAGAGCTGGCCTGGAAGAGGGGCAACCGAGACAGAATCCGGCGCCCCAACTGGGACTAGAACCCGGTGTGCCGGCGCCGCAAGGCGGAGGGTTAGCCTAGTGAGCCGCGGCGCCGGCCAAAAGTTTTATTTTAACGTATTCAATGCTTCCTCCAGGAATTCCAAGGTGCTTGTAAAGTAGCAGGCATTCTGGAAGCCGGGGGCTGGCAGTTTTAAATAAATAATTCCCACTCTGTTCCTTTTTTTCGCCCCGTGAAGTGGCTGGCACCGTGGGGCAGTGATGTAGCTGCTCAGAGGTGAACGGTGTCCGTCTTCCCGTCTCGCCCTGCCTGGGAGGCTCTTAGATGGCGCAGGAGACGCTGACGGCACAGCATAAACATCAGAGAAATTTGCCACACTCAATATGGAGGGCAGGTTGTACAGGGAGCTGGCCCTGGGCCCTGGCCTGCCCTGACGGTCCCTCCTCTCCTCTTTCCGATTGGTGGAGACAGTCCCCTGTCTTTGTTGTCTGGGCTTCTATTGGCCACTTATCCAATCACTCCTGACGTCATCTCTGCTCTTTAGAACAAGTAAACAAACAAGTCTTGCTCCAGAGGAGGGCGGGGAGTGCCGGGAGCTATTCTCAGGCCTGGGCCAGGAGGGTTTCAGAGTGGACTCTCCCTAGATGGGCAGTGTCCTCCCGGGGCCTCGGAAGCTGTGGTGGCTCCCGGCTTCCCCTGCCCAGTGCCGCCCTGCGTCTGCACGGCCTCAGGAATCAGCCAGCCAGGGCGGGGGAGAGACTGAAAGCCACTCACAAGGCACGAGGTCACTTCTGGAGCCGGTGGGGCGGCCGGGCTTTGCTTGTTTGTGCAGATGCTGCCCATACGGGGTGCGCCTGGTGCGGCCGGGGGACCTCTCTCAGCTTTACGATGTTCCCTCCCCGGTAAAGGGTCTCCGTTTCTTCTGAGTGGTGGGAAGATGTCATTTGTTTCACATCTGCATTCTGAGAACTAGTGTGGCTACAGTTAACGTGATTTTTCTTTACGATTTAATTATTTTGACAGGCAGAGTGACACCCGGCGGGTCACTCCCCAGATGGCTGCATGGCGAGGGCTGATCCAGGCTGAAGCCGGGAGCCTGGACTCCCTCTGGGTTCCCTTGTGGATGCAGGGGCCCAAGCCCTTGGGCTAAGTCAGACGTGCGCTCGGCTGTGGGATGCCAGTGTCACGGCTGCAGCTTACCCCGCTGCGCCCAACACCGTGACTTCTGCGGCCGCCAGCTGAAAAGCCTGCCCTGTGTTCTGGTGGTTTCCTTAGCTGTGAGCTTCCCGGGACGCAGGGTGCTGAAGCCAAGGCTGTCTTGGGTCCGGTTTTCCTCGTCCTAGAGCACACACACCCTCCGCACTGCGCTTTGTGGGGGCACAGCGCTCCCTAAGGGACTGGAAGGTGTCTGCGTGTGAATCCAGCTC